TGTGATTGTAATCTCAGCTTCAGAAATAAAAACTTTCTTGGTTTGTTTTTGGAAAACGTGTTTGGTTTTTTTAAACAACCCAAAACTAGAGTTTAAAGAAAATACATAATAAATTGTTTGGGAAATTATCAGTAATTAACTATTCTAATACTTTAAGAGCAATTATTAGCAAACGTAAAGGTTTAGTAAATCAAAAACATAAAATAATGCAATGAAAAATACGTTCTTATAATATCGTTAAATTTAAATTCTGAGATATAAATATTTTTAATTGTTAAAAAGAAAATGCTATTTTTATTCATATCGTCATTAATATACTTTAATGGCAGCTTTTTATTAAACAACCGTTGTTTTTTCAAACGTTAAGGTACAAGAAAAGTCAGATGATGCAGAATTTCTACCATTGATCCAGAATTTCTAACATATTTTTCATACTTTTTCCATTATTTTGTATTACTTTAGGTTAAAATAAGCGAGAAATATTATATTTAGCATTTAAATAATCTATGGTTATGAGAAACAGCATGAAACACCGATGTTTTTTTCTTAGTTTTAAAGATACAATTTTCCAGACACGGCTCACTTCCAAATAATATTTTTCTTAATTTGCACTTCTTTGCAGTTATTTAGGTTATTTATTCATCATTGAAATTACTTTAATTTACAAAATCAATTATTGATAAATTTTTGCATATGAATGAAAAGAAACGTTTTCTTACTGCTTGTTTTGAATTTCACATTTTAGTAGAAATATAATTCCGATAACCTAGCAGATTTTTTCAGCAACTATTAGACAGTTTTTAATTTTAAAAAAATACCAAAATATATTTTACTTGTTATTAGAGAGTCAGATAACGAAACTATACAAGAGGGACACCCGTGTCCCATTTGCGTCAAAGGATAAATATAATAAGTACATATATAGATTCGAACTATATATCTTTTAAGTTTTACGTTTGCACTAACTACCAATTAATTAGTTTTAAAAAAGAATTTGTTATCCAATAAGTGTTTTGATATACCTTTCTTAAGAAAATATAATACATACAAAAGTGAAAAAGAATAAAAATTTTAATTAAACTATTTCAAATTCATAAATGATGAATTTTTGGAATTGTTTTCTAATTTTTAATTTTAATCTTCCGCTGTTGGATAAAATATGGCACATCAAGATACGAAAATGAATAAAATAGAATATGAAATATCAAGACATGAATTAAATAAATACATTCCACTGAATAAGAAAAACAAGGAACGGATAAAATAAATAAATTGGATTACATAAGAAATGTCAAGACATTGATTAAATAAATAAGTTAGATAGAATAAGAAACATGAAGACACGTATTAAATAAATAAATTGGTTAAAAAAATCTAAAAGTTTCTTAGCACACTTAAAGTTTAACATAACATATCGGCATGGTGTTAATAACATAATAATTAACGCCATGCCGTCGAAAATTGCAGAAGATATTTCAGAAAATATCATAATATTCGGCTGAAAATGTAAACACAAAATTTCAGTATTTTTTTTCTTTTAATATTGTGACTAAAAAATATACTTTTGTAAAATATATTTTGGAAAGAAATTCAAAAATATATTTTGGAAAGAAACTCATAAATGACACAAATTTCAAGTACGTTATGTAAATTTATCGCCAATTTTTAAATAATTACTTTCCTGTTAAAGAGAAAAATATGAACAGCAGGCTTTGCACTTTCTTAAATCAGCTGCTAAAAAAAAAGAATATTTAAAAAAAATAAATAGAACAGTCTATTTAAATTTTTCAGTGAAATGGACACGATGAACTAAAATCTCATAAAAGCTGTTTCCTCCATCCTCCGTGTTTCTGGTCACGTCTCCAGCACGCTGCCCATTTAAATAATTATCATACACAAGAAAATATTTTTACGATGTGATTGTCCTCCGGCGGTGAGCACGTGTTCGAAATGAATGCCAGACTAGACGATAAAAGCAACAAAGCTTGCCAGCATTCACGTGCAATAAAATTCCCAAATCAGATAATTTACAAACAAAAAAAGAACGCGCACTCGCAGGCCAAACGGTTTATCACGTGAATTAGCTCGCACTGAAGGGCTAAAAATTAACTTACCATCACGAAGCGAGAAAAAAAAATTACCAGGTTGGTGAAAGACTTAAATTCTATGTTTATAATTAGGAAACCTTGAAAATTGGCAAGTACCTACCTTGATGTTTATTGGATCGGTTACAAAAATTTTTCGACACTTCTATGAGATAGAATTCAATTATTTTGAAATAGTGGACTATTTTTCTCAGAAAGACGGAAATAGAAAGAAGAGTTTCACTGAATAAGGAAACAATCGGTTCCACGACTAAGCGAAAAAACAAGATAAATTCTTAATTCAGGGTGATGATATGTAAATTCGATGCGACGTTTCTTAGACTTATCTCTAATGCATGCATATAAATAACATTTTCATAAGATTATTTAATAATAAGAGCCAATGGTACGCTCATATAAACCATAGTTTAAAAGGTAAAAATCTATTCATTCATTTAAAAAGTTTAGTCCTAGATAATTAAACTTTATAAATATTGTCAGAACCGTCTTTACGCATGGGCACCACTGGGGTCATCAACGTTAAAAAAGAATAACGTTATATACTTTTATGTTCAAGAATAGTGTTAAATTTTGGTACATATTTAGTTGAAAAATTTTTAGTTTTATTTTTTATTGAAGTGAAATACATAATTTGATAAAAATGCTATTAGACAAAATTATAAAAAATACAAACCCATTAAGTAATGAATAAATAGTTATAAAATGTTTTATACAGATATAAATAAAAAAACATTATCCCCTGGCACGACTTTTTTAATAAAATTATTACAGCTCTTTAAAGCAAAGATAAATTTTTATTTTCGCTCCTAAAAGAATAAATTTACAAATAAGTAAAAAATAAATTATTTAAAGTTTCAAAATATTAATAATTATATTATTTCAAAATATTTTTAAAAAAATTTTCAAAAATAGGCACTTAAATAAATAACTATATAGATTTTTTTATATCAATAAATTTCTATTATAAAAAATTTCTTATGTATTTTTTTCTTTTTATTTGGGGGGAGGCACTAAAAATCTCAATTTAAACTGGAAAATGCTGTAAAGAAAATTTAAAAAATATTAACGCATAGATAATATAGCTGATTTTAAAATAAATTTTTTAACTCCCTTTTCGTAAATTTAACACTTAATAAGCTTAAAAAATGCTATTGTAACAGTTTCTCATTGAAAATTCATTGTATTGCCCACTTAGTCTCAGAAATCACTTTTAAGCTCGATTTAAAATCTTAACTGATTATTTATAATTATTAAGAATAAAAATAATATTATAAGAGATTACACATAAAATTTCAAGGATGCTAATAAAATTATTTTACAATAAGTAGAAATACTATTTAGATATCCAGGTAATGATTTGTAATAGAAAAAAAAATTTAAATAAACTAGTTAATTTTAAATTTGTGTAAATTTTGATGTGCATATTATAATCATTGTGGATATTACAATTATTATATAAATATTAATGTAAATTATAATTTAAGAATGATTATTTGTCAATGAAGCACTAAAACTGTAGTAATGGCTCATCAATTAGTAGGCTAAATAACTACTTCTTCAAGATGTAATGAAAATACAGAGAAACCTGTTACCTGTGAAAATTTATATACAGCAGATCGATAATTCCATGCTTCATATGGAAAGATGGTCCATTTTAAAATCGTGATTTGTTTTGATATTCGCTAACAAAGAAGCATTCTACTTAACGAGGCAATTTAAATTTAGTTCGATTTCTTAAAAAAATGCATAATTCAGGAACAGGCAAAAGTGAGAATAAATCAAGAGAAAAAATAAATTAACACCAACTTGGATTTTTATTTAATTTTTACCTTCTTAATCAAAACTTTATTATTACCCTTTACCTTACTTTATTAAGAAAAACTATTGTGTGATATTATTAGATTTCAAATCAGCAATTTATATTAGAAGTTAGAGAAAAACAAATTAATNGGACAGATTCAATATAAATAAACTAGTTAATTTATAATTTGTGTAAATTTTGATGTGTATATTATAATCATTGTGTATATTACAATTATTATATAAATATTAATATGAATTATAATTTTAAAATGATTATTTGTCAATGAAGCACTAAAACTGTAGTAATGGCTCATCAAATTAGTAGGTTAAATATCTACTTCTTCAAAATATAATGAAAATACAGAGAAACCTGTTACCTGTGAAAATTTATATCCAGCAGATCGATAATTTCATGCTTCAGATGGAAAGATGGTCCATTTTAAAATCGTAATTTGTTTTGATATTTGCTAACAAAGAAGTATTCTACTTAACGAGACAATTTAAATTTAATTCAATTTCTTATTTATTTATTTTTTTAATCTAGTTCAAATAAAATAAAAATTCAAATAAAAATAACTTACCAACCCAGTTTAGTTTTCAGTAACCAATTTCAACCCAGTTCAAATAAAAATAACTTTCACAGTCAACTCTGAAGCATCTGCCTCACACAGACAGATGGATAATTAGAAAAGGGGTAATAGTATTTTGATATTAGTTATTAATTATACAATTTTTATAGTCATTTGCTTTGATATTTGTTTACAGAAAAATATTCTCCTTAATTGGAAAATTTAAATTTAGTTTGATTTCTTAAATTAATTTAGTTGTAGGTAAAAAAAACAACAATTAAATCTGAGAACAATGAGTTTTATAGTGAACTCTGCTTCACATAGATGCACAATTAGAAAAAGTGATGATGTTTTAATAGTTAATTAATTATATATTTGTTTAAATAGATTACTTAAATTAATTTAGTTCCTTATATTTAAAGTTTTAAAACATTAAAATTCATTCCATTGTGAACATTAACTTTTCAAGCGAAAAAAATGTAGCAATGAGTCCAATAACAACAATCAAAGAAAAATATATATATGAGATTAATGAAGCTTTTATTTACAAAAATATTAAGTCATATGAACATAGATAAAAACATGAGAATGAACTTAAAATGTTCATTTACAAGAAAAACAATAATAAAAAATGATAGGTATAGTACTTATACAAAAACATAAAATTAGGAGAACAGTAAATCACAGGATATGTTAAAGCAAATAAAGAAAAGTACATATTCTTTAGGAACAATAGTTGGTAATAAAATTGTTTTTTTTTTTTTTTTCACAATACATCAAATCTAAATTTTTGATGCAGTTACCCAGCACATTTTGATAAAATTCACAACATCAGTTAAGCAAATAGACTAAATATACAAATGGTCGCTTTAACAAGATACAAAAATAAATAACATATAATATTCATAAAACCAAATCAGTGCCACAGGCACCAGCAGTCATCTTCTATAAGCTTAGCAAAGCCCTAAATCAGTAAAAATGCACATTTTTAAATTTGCTGTGCTTTAGCATCTCTGATTTTGTGAATCCAACGTGCTGCATCAAACACTACATCATTATTTCGGAAAGTTTCTTCGTGGTATTTAAAAAAGTCATCCATATTGAAATCTGGGAAAAAGAAAGAAATTTCTCTTCGAGCTGTGTCGGGAGAATCTAAAATAAAAAATTATTTATTAAATTCTTTTTCCAAATGCATAGTATGTTATTTTTGCTTTTAAAAACCAATGGACAGTTTTATCAATTTTTTTGAAAAAAAAAGATTGTATTAAGAAAGTGATTTCAAATAGAATCAGATTTTAATCAAGATAGAATCAGACTATTTATTACAAGGGCAAGAAAAATTAATTTCACAATAAAAAAACATCCTAAATGATCTGGAAATTTACAATAGCACTTACAATTTTTTTTTAATCCGTGACGATGAAAGCACTTAACAGTGTGTGACATTAAAGTGTAGATAACCATAAAAGTGAGTAGGAAATATGTCAGTTTATACCTTTATTTTGCAGCTGATTAATAAGTTTTGAGTTAAGAAGCTGTATAGAAACCAAAACTGCATTAAACATAGTATTTGCAGTAAGCTTCATTAAAACTTAAAAATATGTCTTAGGCAATCTAAAAGCAACGAGTACTATTTAGGGTGGAAAAAAAATTAACACGTTTATATACAAAGGTAAAGGAGAAAAAAGGAAAAGTTTTTGACACAGAATCAGTGGTAACATGTTCTAGACATCATGATCGTGTGCCCCGCAGTGGACTGATCGTTGAGACGGTTCCCAGCAGATCACCGAAGTCAAACATCACCGGCTACGGTCAGTGTGCGGATGGGTAACACTTGCATCAGTCTGCGTAGGGACCGAGGGTGTGCAGTATTGGTCCTCGTTAAACTGTTCTACCGTAAAGTGCTCAACTTCACAAGCAGGTCGTCGGGCCATCGAAGCGGAGGTGCCATCCCCTCTACAGAGGATCAAAATTGCGATGGCATGTCTTCAGATCATCCTCAGGGATGTTTCCCAAGCCGTCGTTAATAGCCCATTGTGCAGCTCTAGTGCGACGTAAATGAATTACAACAATCGTGATTGTGCATTAAGGTATAAAATAAAAATTCCAGAAATTCATCTGTTTCTCTGCACCATATTCACCCTTGACTAAATATTAAATAAAAAATGTTCTTATTATTTGTCTTATCACCCATAAGAACAAGCTTATACTTTTGAAATAATATTTTAAAATATCTTAGACTATTTAAAATGATAATACTAAAAATATAACGTTCATGTAATATTGTTGAAATATAAAGCATAAGCAATAATTAACTTCTTAAAATCTCATTTAACGAACAATATGCAATAAGCATAACTTTCGACCAGCAGAATAAATCATTTAAATCGTGAGAAATTGAATTGTGTGAAATTGAAAAACAATGTAGAGGGAAAAAATGCCCACTTGCGTAAGATATTAAATTACTAGTAATAAAAGATTCTGATTTCAGTTATCAAATGTGCAACCAATATTTAGAATTAAAAACTTGTATTTCCATTATTCTAACTAGATTAGATACATCTGAATTCTAACTAAAAATTAAAATTACTCACCTGAACCATGACAAGCATTTCTTGTATCTGTAAGACCAAACCTTGCTCTTATTGAATGAGGAGCATCAAACTGGGCTCTAAAAAAAGAATTTAGAAAATGTATTTTAATTCCATAATTAAAACTTTTTAGCATTTTTGAAAAAAATGTAACCGCCTAGAGGCAGATAAATAGATTAGCTTTATAATATGAGAAATTAGTACAGCACAAAAATGATGGATTAAAATATATATTTAATGAGAAATTAACAGAGTAAATTACTCACTTATAAACATGAGTTGGACCCATAAGGTCTCTCCAATGTTTGATAGCATTTTCTCTAGCAAGTACATGAGCAGACAATAAACCACTGAAATTAATAAAAAAGACAACAAAAAAAATTTAATTTTTAAAAAAAGAAATTTTAAATTTATAAATTATAAAATTAACTTTCAACATAAACATTGAAAAAGTAATTAATTTCTACTTAAATTAATATTACTCAGAAAGAAATCTACAAAGTATTTATGCTATATTAAAGTCTAAGATAGAATACTTGAGAAACCATCAATAAAAACTAATTTTCTTGCATCATAAATTGAAATTATAGCATTAAGAAATACAAATTTAGTAATTACAAGCAGAACTGATATTAATCCTTCATTAAATGTTTTTTTACATTTAAAAATTATATCTATATACATATATATGATCAATAAATTAAATATTCAAAAGCATAAAACAATATTAAGAGATGATCGAAAAGTTTCCATCAGAAGGCTTCATTAGCTTAAATATAAATAATTGACTCTGTTTTCTATTGCTTAAATAAGCTTGAAACTTTCACAATGGTGTCTACTGCACTTCATCAGATAGGAACCATTTACCTACCTTTCAGAAACTTCCAAACAAAAAGATCAGGACTGTAAAGAGACTGCACGAGTGTCAGCCATTTATGTAAATTCTACACAATAACATTTGTGATATTGTGACACGACTTATCTTGAGAAAAAATCACTGCCCACTTCTTGTTGTTGACATTGGATGTGGATAGCATCCTAGATTGACATACATTTTCAGTCACACAGCGACCAGGACTGAACTTTGACCTTCTTTCACAACTTTGGTTTTCGACAGACATGTTTCTTCCATGCACTTTCTTCATTTTCTAATGAATATTTATTAGTACTTGTCTTTCAGCAACCCAAAAAAGACAAACAGTACATTGGTGCTGTTATGGACAGATTCAATATTAGCGTAGCCATTGTAATGCTTCACCATTTTCCATAGAACAAAGTTAAGCAGGAATCACACAATTCTATGGCTAGATGTTAGTGTTTACAAACCTTTAGGCAACCTATTTATATTTGTATATTTATACCAAGTACTGATGCCTTCAAAAGGAAATTTTTTTATCATCTTTATATTTATTTTCATCAATAAAACAATTAAAAAATTTTAAACATAATATTTACCTTGACATAAATGTTGATAGTCTGTTGAAGAAAAATTTATCTGAAAGAAAGAGTGATGGTATGTATTTTCATAGAATGAACTATTAATAATACTATCAAATAAAAGTATTAAAATAAATATTTACTTTTATGTTCAGCATAAAACTTTTCAGCTTCAGAAGGATTCAACTGTGTTACCCTCGTGTCCACAAAATAAAAATTGTTTTCCAAAATTATTTGCCTTATCAACTAGAAAAAATAAATTACTTTAGAAGATTCTAATAAACTAAAAGATTTAAAACTTATCTACACGAAAATTGTTTGAAAAAAAAAAAGTTTATTATCAAAACAAAATCAGAAAGAATTTAAGTTGTCCTACAAGGGAAAAGGCATAATTATTGAAAACAAAAACAATCCATATAATTATATTTGGATGGATTACTTAAAATACTTTATCAGATTTGGTTAATTGTGTGAGTGAATAATTGTCGGATTCAGTAAACCAATTTTATTTTACTACGGATACAAGATGTATGTAAAAATAACCTTCTACAAGTGATTGAAATTAAGGGGATATTTCTGTATAGTAATCTGTCGTACCAACTACAAACGACAAGGTGCCAAATTGATTTTAAATGAGAGAATTTTAGGAAGAATTAAAAAAACCTATAGATGTTTGCCCATGGCTATGAGTTATACCCTTCAAGTTGGTCTCTTTCTGTGATGCTTTTGTGCTTGTTGATGTGCTTAGTCTCTCGCAGGCTGCTGGCCGGAAGTTGGCAAGGCTGAGAGATTATTCTGCCACAGATCACATTATGGAAATCTCCCCGAAATTAAAACAAAAATTATCAACTTTTTTTTCCAGAGAATCCAGACATGAGAAAAAACAGTTTAAAAATGAACTTATATTAGAAAATATAAATTCATTATATATATTATTAGAAAAAACTGAAACAAAACTATATCAACTTATGGTAGAAAAAATGAGACAAAGAACTAATGTGTTTTCACAGTAAAAATTTAACTCTGTATGCATGTCTTAATCGTGAACAATTACTTATTAGAAGTTAAGTTTCACTGCCAACATTTAACTCATAAACTTAAAGTATTTTATTTTAAACATTGAATTCAAAGCTTTTAGTAACTTTAAACTTTTTAAAGGTTGTGATGGTGAGAATCCCAGGAGGTAAAGTTTTTTTCTTTTTTTAAACATTGATACAATATTTAATTTCTTTGAGTATCAAAACATTTCATTAAAAAAAGTTAAATGGGGATATTTCCATATGGGTAAGTAAAAAGTTTCTTAAACTTGCAAAAAATTTCTTTAAAAAATTTAGTTAAGTCTCTTTTTAGTGCTCATTTGTTTTCTTTTCAGCTTTTCTTAGCTACTGCCCTTAAGTTGGTACTGATAAGAGCAATTATTTTGACACTGATACGGGTACTGATACGAAAATCTTCCCAACAATAAAGACGAAAGGGGAGAGAAAAACTATCAAATCAGTAGGCTCTTATCAATTACTACAGTAAGTGAAGATAGTAACATTTTTTCAAAAGTATATGTCAAAAAAGGGAAATTATAAATATATTTAATTTAAATACACATAACGTGATTTAAAGATGATGATCCAAGTTGCAGCATATAAAACAAAAACTAATGAGCTGATAAAAAAAACTTTAAAAATTATTGGAAAGATTCAAACTGCATTTGTTTAGAATTTCTGGAAGTACCTACTAGATTATTTAACACTTAAGTTACAAATAAAAAAACTTATTTTATAAAATGATCATAAATCTTCTCTAACCATGCATTTATGTTAGCTAAGTTTTTTCCAAAACCAAAATATATGCAAACTTTATAAAAAAAACAATTTGACAAATTAGTTTGTTGATAATTATCGATGGCTTCAATAAATTTGTTTAGATGCATTTAGTTAAAATATCTGAAATTTGAAATAAACATTGGATAGTTTGTTGACTATTTCAATGACTAGTAAGTCTCCAAACTAGAGTGATAATCTATGATAAATGTAATTTGAAATGCATTCATTAGTTGTTGTATTTAATTTTAATAATGGCTAAATAAATGTTTAAATTGCTAGGTGCTATAAAAGATTTGCTATTATTGTGCAGTTTTAAATTATACAAAACAAGACTGCAAATGAACAAATAATTTATAAGCAATAAATATTTAATCATATTTTTAAATATGTTACAAATATAATGATTTTCATAATGTTTGGAAACATCACTTTATCTGAAGCATTTTTCTTTTTGGTAAAAATATTTTGAACAAAAGAAAAGAAAATTGAAATATTTTACTTTACTAAACTCAAAAAAAAAAAAAATTTATAACAGAAGTTAGTATACTATTCAATTTGTTGTAAATTTTGTATAAGGACAAAAACAAAAAAATTGATAGTTATGAAGAACAAGTAGTGAGTAAATTTTTAAAAATAAATATGCAGCAGACACATATGTATTAAGAAAATTTGTCCTTTTTAGGGATGTAAATCTAATTACATAAATTAAATTAAAAAAATTAATTACACATATATTTATAATGAATTTCATGAATAAAAGAAAATCTTAAGTTCTGAAAACGACAAAATTGTTTATTTAAAATTAATACATTATAGTTTAATAAAAGGAAAAAAATACCTGCAGATTATAAGGATTTCTACAGACGTCAGGTTTAATAATAGCTAACGTAAGTTCTAACGGCGCTAAAAATTTCGACATTATTCAAAGCTTTCGAAGTTTCAATAAGAGATCAAGCTATAAATCGAATCTACCGCCAGCACTTCACCAGATGAATGAAAAGCTTCCTCGAACAGGAGTTTTATTCACAGTTCCCATAACTTATCTGTTCACATGGTCACATCGTGTTTGTAAACACAATGACCTGGCGCTGCAGGTCGTTTATAAAAATAAAACAATTTTTTAGAGATAACATCGATTCATGAATAATGAAACTGATGACTTGATTGTCTTAAAATGTTAATCCGTGGTATAAGTAAATGAATAATTAGATATTTTTTTAACAACTGAAAATTTACTCTCAACTTTTAATTTTGGAACATGCAGGCAAATAAAAAAATCATAACGCGCAATGAGTGTGTTCATAAAATGAATTCGTTCATAAAAATAAACGATTTCCGTTTGTAAATTTGAACTCATTGGCAACTTTTCGAATGTAAAAGTTGAAAAAATTGACTTTATTGAATCCGTTCAACCCATTTGAAACGACTAAAATAAACGTTTCCTCTATCACATGGAACTGGCTTGATTTCTCTTTTTACTATTAATTTTTTTACTTGTTTTTGCTGCTTAAGTTACACGCAAACTTTACATATGTGCGTTATTTTAATAGACCATTTATAATTGCTTGCAATTTTTTATTTTTTTTTGCATTCGAATTTAGGAAAAATCGAACTGGGGAAAACTGTCACCCACGAAAAACTTGCCAGGAACATCTAGAAGAATGGTCTATAAGTGTTATTTCTCAAAAATCAAACAGAAGAAGTCGATGCAAATATTACGTTAAAACGAAGTAGGTGAATCTATCTTCTATAGGTGAATCTAAATCATTCATCTTGGTGCTTTATTACCCTACTCGCTAACTTCAAGAACGGCTTACGCAGCTCTTTTCAGACCTTAGACTGGAGTTTTTATTTTAGAATCTGTTTATAACTTTATTAGAAGCCATTGTCCCTGGCTCTCTGTCGCTCTTTATTCCTCAGAACTGCTGGTGTAGCTTTTGCAAAATCTCCTATTATACTCAATTTATTTTATCCGTTTTGAATAGTCTAGTTTTTATACAATAATATCCTTTAAAACTTTATATTAAATATATATTGAAAGGCTCCTCTTCCAGCTCAATGTCATTCACCAGCAATGACGCCGGAGCATAAAGACCTAAGAAAGCACTCACCACAATTGTCCTTTTAGCAAGTTGTCGATAAATGCATGTTTCCAATCTTTGCACTTTTCCCTTCCAAAAATTCGCAAAACGCTCTGTACGTGGAAGTAGCACGTTTGAATCCCGCGGTAACCATGCGTGCATCTTTATGAAGACATGAGTTCATAAGCCATCTATGTCATAAGCACACAATCCGGCATACAAACAATATATTGATACATATTTCATATCACGACTAATATGGACAATTCGACCATATTGACTCTCTCCTCCTACCAATATTTTATAACCGCCATTGAGCCGACCCAATTCTGGGTTTTCGACTGCTAATGTTCAACTCTGTTTCCTTGTAATTTGAACCCAATCCAGAAGACGAGGGAACTACTGGATCAAGCATGGGAAGAAATTTGCCTTTCTTGTGAGACTTTTTGATGGAACTAATCCACGTTTGCGTTACATGCAGAGGAAAACCACGAAATCCTCTCACGGTTAGCCCGACGGCAAGGGGACCTATGATCCGTCTACTACTGAGAATATTTTACGGCAGCACTATGGTCGGTGCAAGCCGGTTGCGGAATTCGTACAGACTAACCATTGCTGGGATTCGAAACCGGTTTGCCTGTGTACAAAATGATGACTGGCGCAAGCTGAATCCGTAAGGATCACAAAGATCTCCAAGTTCTCATAAAAAAATCAAAACCTCTAGGGGTACTCTGGCTCAGGTCAAAATCACGATATGCGAACGAATGAATGGTGTATGAATGTGACCTCGCTATAAAACAGAAAGTGGCATATGTATGTTGTCACCAGATCATCCTCAGGAATATTTCCCAGATCGTCGCCAATAGCCCATAGTGCAACGTTAATCTAAAGCGACAAACTATGCTAAGTACTTTCTTACATTTATTTATTTTTCTTTATTTTAAAATATAAAAGCATGTAAATATTTAACTTCCTTTTCTTTACATTAATTGATAAAATTATATTTAATCTGAGGACTGATAGGAAGTTTGTCCATATTGTCCTTTTCCCATCTATTGATTGTTTAAAAAAAAAATATGAAGCGTAGTATAAATTTTTTTTCATTCTTTATTAATAAAATGATATTTAGGGCAGTTAGTTTGTTGAATACTGCCATTTTAATAAAGCATTTTATTTTTAACTTCGGATTAAAAATTTAAATGAAGCCGATGAATTAGAAACTATGTTTTCAAACAAAATTTAAAAATCATTTTCTTTAAAAATTATTTTGCCCTTGATTTATTGTTGCTTTCCTTTAAACTGTTTGCGCGATCCCCTTCAGGTCAATTATCTCTTTTATTTCACCTTTTTGAACTACAATGGTACAAAAGCTATCTTTGATTAGACATATGTTCATTAAGCGCTAACTTAAAGCTGATAAAATAAAAGCATAAAAGTTTAATCCTTAAAAACTTAGAATCTAGTATTCACTTTATTTGGTATGGATTTTATCTTTTTTATAATGTATCATAAAAACAAAAATTTAAATATTCATTTCAGATAATTCCGCATTTAATTTTAAGAGAAATGGCGAAGAAAATTTATCAGTTCTAATAAAAAATAAACTTGACTCAGAAGGAAGGACCATTTAAAGGTAAAAAGTGAGTTCAAGTGTTAAAATTTATAACTTTTAACATAATTTTATTTTTTTTACATAAACTTAAACATTCGCTGTCGCTCACCAAACCCGTTTTTTCATCCAATAGTTTTTGCGTAATAAATAAGAGTGATTAGAGAAAATTTTCTAAAATTTTAGTGAAAATTAATACTGATAGTTAGAGGCTTAAAGAGAATTAGAAATATTAGCCAAGCAATAAAGTTATAAGAATGTGAATGTTTGATTATAAAACGTATAATACAATAGCAATGAATAATAGCTGCAATAGCTCAAACTTTTTTGTCTTGTGTTTTTTTTAGTTTGTTTTTTAAAACCAAAACTGATGCTACAAATGAGAATTTAAAATGCTATTTTTCCATAAAAAATTGGAATTTGTAGGGGAAGTCCTGGTTTATTTGTATTTCTACCAATTCACATAAATAATGAAAGACTAGAAATTATCTAACTCTAAATATTTATTGAAAAGGACAAAACACATAAAAATAAAACAAGGATAAAAAAATACAAGAATTTGGAAGAGGGGGTTTTGGGCTCGAATTAAACGTCCGTGCTTNTTTTTCCCTTCCAAAAATTCGCAAAACGCTCTGTACGTGGAAGTAGCACGTACGTTCGAATCCAGCGGTAACCATGCGTGAATCTTTACGAAAACATGAGTTTATAAGCCATCTATGTCATACGCACACAATCCGGCATACAAACAATATATTGATACATATTTCATATCAGGACTAATATAGACAATTCGACCATATTGACCCTCTCCTCCTACCAATATTTTATAACCGTCATTGAACAGCCGATCCAATTTTGGGTTTTCGACTGCTAATGTTCAACTCTGCAACCTTGTAATTTGAACCCAATCCAGAAGACAACGGAACTCCTGGATCAAGTTTGGGGAGAATTTTGCCTTTCTTGGAGGACTTTCTGATGGAACTAACCCACGTTTGCGTTACATGGAGAGGAAAACCGCCCACGGTTAGTCCGACGGCAAGGGGACCCATGATCCGTCTGCTACTGAGAATATTTTATGGCAGCACTATGGTCGTGCAAGCCGGGTGCGGAATTCGTACAGGCTAGCCATTGCTGGGATTCGAAACTGGTTTGGCTGTGTAAAAAATGATGGCTGGCGCAAAGCTGAATCAGTCGGGACGGAATCACAAAGATCTCCAAGTTCTCATAAAAAAATCAATACCTCTAGGGTAGGGATGGATAAATTACGGCCCGCGGGACAACTGTGGCCCGCCGGAAGATTTTATCCGGCACGCGGATAGAATTTTTATTTGTCGATCAGTGGCAAATATAAACAATATTCATCCATTTTCCTGTCGACTATGTTTAAAATTATTTCTGTTTTTCCTTTTTTAACAAAGTACTGATGACATTTTTAGTCTCTATTTTTGTTCTACAAAACATAAATTGATGGAAATAGTTAGCACAGACAGCTTCAATTGGTAAACTGCTGAAAGCAGATGTTCTTTATAGAATGGCCTTAGATTGGCTCCAACTAGCGTTTGTCTTTCTCGAGGAGCTGACTTATGGAATCTAATATAGGTAAATTGAACTTCACATTTGGCAGACTGCGCATTTTACGCTCCAAAGAGCGGACAATCTAACAATCATCTGAAGCAGTTGTTTCTAAATATGCCAAAGTTTTACAAATCATTACCAAATGCTAATTTCCAAAATTTAATATTTCATGCCCAGAAAATCAGTGTTATGTTTGCTTATGTTATATATGTGAACAAGAGTTTTCAACTATGAACCTTAGAAAAAATCATTTCAGAAGTAGACTAACAGAAAAGCATTTAGCCTTGTTCCTTAAAATAAGCACATCTCACTTCGAACCTTAATAGAAGGAACTTTTAAAAATTAAATCGCAATTTCCTTCATCTCACTAAATATTTAAATTAAAACTTGTAAATCGCTTTTTTTCTTTTTAAGTTTTGAAGTTTTTACTTGGTCCACCAAACATTTTTTTTCTTGATTTTTGGCACTCGACCAAAAAAGTTTGCCCATCCCTGCTCTAGGGGTACTGGATCGGAGATTGATCATGCTCTGACTCAGGTCAAAATCACGATATGCGAACGATTGAATGGTGTGTGAATGTAACCTCAGTATAAAACAGAAAGTGGCGTATGTATGTTGTCACCAGATCATCCTCGGGGATGTTTCACAGATCGTCGCCAATAGCCCATACTGCAGCTCAATTGTTAATGTTTGTAATGGAATTGTTTGTCAACTTAAGAGCAACGTTAATAAAAAGTGCCAAACTATGAAGTACTTTCTTACATTTATTTACTTTGCATTTTTTCTTAATTTCAAAATATAGAAACATGTAAATATTTAACTTCCCATTTCGTTATGTTAATTGATAAAATTATATTTAATGCGTGGATTTATAGGAAGTTTGTCCATATTGTCTTTTTCCCATCTTTTGATTGTTTTTAAAAAAAATGAAGCGTAGTATAAAATTTTTTTCATTCTTTATTAATAAAATTATATTTAGGGCAGTTAGTTTGTTCAATATTGCCATTTTAATAAAACATTTCATTTTTAACTTCAGATTAAGAATTTAAATGAAGCCGATGAAGTAGAAACTACGTTATCTTAAACAAAATTTAAAAATCATTATTTTTAAAAATTATTTTGCCCTTGATTTATTGCTGCTTTCCTTTAAACTGTTTGCGCAATCTCTTTTATTTCACCTTTTTGAATTACAATGGTACAAAAGCTAAGACATCTTTGATTAAACATTTGTTCATTAAGCGCAAATTTAAAGCTGATAAAATAAAAGCATAAAAGTTTAATCCTTAAAAACTTAGAATGCAGTATTCGCTTTATTTGTATGGATTTTATCTTTTTTATAATGTATCATAAAAACAAAAATTTAAATATTTATTTCAGATAATTCCGCATTTAATTTTAAGAGAAATGGCGAAAGAAATTTATCAGTTCTAATAAAAAATAAACTTGACTCAGAAGAAAGGTGTCAATGATGGGACCATTTAAAGGTAAAAAGTGAGGTCAAGTGTCAAAATTTATAGCTCCTAACATAATTTTTTTTTACATAAACTTTAACATTTGCTGTCGCTCACCAAACCCGTTGATTGCAATGTCAATGGGACTCTAGTATATAATACTTGTTATTCCTGAAATTCAAACTTATCAGTAATAATCAAGAACACAACAAAAGTTTCCAATAACGATTCTAATATTTATTGGTCAGCAAAATTTGTTTATTTGGACTGCACAGCATTTTCAGTTTTAAATAATACTTAAAGTATGAGTAAAAATCAAACTAAATGAAAAATCTATCATAAGTTTCTCATTGTTTTAAATTCGTATAAAATACACAAAGAAAACACACACAGAATAGGAAGTTAACTTTCAAAAAAGTGTGTTTAATTAGATTCTACAACATTTTCAGTTGATGTTTTTAAAAAGCAATATTTAATGCATAGGCCATAAAATAATATCTCTGTAAATAAATTTCTATTACTTAAATTTTTTATATAATGTATGAAGATAATATCAATATAGAATATGTATTTATCTCATGGTCATTCAACATTCTTCACGAGTTATATTTCACAGATTTTACAGCCAACCAGTGGTTTCTTTAACATTTTTTTTGTCACCATAAAGACTTTATAAAAAATAGAATTATGCTTAATGCATTCAACATACAAATATTTTAATGAAGATTTGCAACGTACATCACAATAAAATAATTTAATAAGTACCTTCACAAATTTGGAATTTTCTCTAAATTTTTAAATATACTTCAACTATAAATTTATTCACTAGACATAGTAACATGAATATCATTAATAAACTTTAAAACATTTTTTTAATTGTCTTGTTATGTAATAAGAAAAAAACATTTGTGTTACAGATGTATAGACATTTCACATCTAAAATTTGAAATGATTATAATTTTTTCACTATTGAATTATAAACGAGAAAATTTTCAATGAGTTTTTAACTCCTTTGAAGCCAGCTCTTTTCTCTCTCACAATTGTTTTTTTTAAATATATATAGGTAAACTACATTATTCTAAATAATTATAATTCTGTCAATAGTTTTTTTTTTTCTAAAAAGGAATTTTTGCAACATGGGTACTAAGTGAAATCAAATGACTCCCTTCATTTCAACTTCCTATTTTCTTTCCTTTTTAATTCACATCCTTTTTTGATTTAAAAATTAGAACATAATTCAATATTTAAAGCATAAAAAGAGGATAACTGTTAGACACAGAGTACATACTAGATAATTTCATTATGTTCTTATTAATCCTTTAAAATTAGAACAATAGTAAATTGAATAAGGTAAGCTACACTGTTTTCTCTCTTTCACTTTCCAGTTTAAAATCAAAAGGTTTGTCATAACCCATCATTAGGCAATATGCATCAGGGTCTTTGACCATATTTGAATCAACAAAATAAGGAGTATTTTTCACTTTAAATGATGTGAACATCCCTGGTAGATCTGGAATGGTAACATCCGAGGCTGTGAATGTAATTTGCTTTTTTTGGCTGGCAAGATTGAATGTAGTTGCATAGAAAATTTTAGTCACAGGATCATATGTTAGTTCTAATATGTACTTTTTTGTAATCCAGTGAAGTAGAAAAGGAGTACACAGAAATCCTGTTGAAACAATGCCAGTGGCACAAGCAAACACGGGACTTGTATGCCACATATCTTTAAGAAAAACGGGTAAAACAGCAAAGCCAACCATGCTAGAGGATAGAGACAGAAGTTTGGTTATCTTTAAACGCCTTTTCAATGGCGCTTCATATACAAGTGTTCTATTTTCTGGTGGTGGCTGTTGTGAGTTACATGCTGAAGAGGTATTAACCTGTAATAAATTAAGTAAATAAAATATTATATAAAAATTTAAGTGTTGTAATATTAGCATGAAAAAAAATCAACATTTAAATACTAGAGGTAAGAAAACAAAAAATATGATTATGTAAGCTACATAATTTCTTAAAATTATTTTTTTTCACCCTCAGAGCATCAGGCTTTTGGACAATGATGTCTATATAAAATATTTAAATTACTTAAAGAAATATTAATCTTATTTAAAGTTAAATTAATTTAGAAATCAATTAAAAAATAATAAGCTTAAATGCAGGTTTTTTGCATCAAGGTTTGAGAAAATAGGTACGAAAAGGGTAATTAAATAATTAAAGAAAAAAACTAATATTGAACATTTGATTTGTGGAGATACTAACTGTTGAAACTAGTTTTGCTAATTACTTAAGCACAATGTAACAAACTCATTTGTAAGAATAATATATAATTCTTGAAAATAGAAATTCATTTAATACTTTTATTTATTTTTTTCAGTCAACAAGCTATAAAATATTTCAGATTCTTGCTCCTGCTTGTTCTACTGCCTATTTGCTGAATCGTCTTTAATGCCTCATAGAGTTAATATTATTTCATGTTTATAAACAATACGATTCTAAAAGGTAACTTTCACGCAATTAAACACGTGGTTTCATATAGCTTCTACAATATCAATTTGAGACGTTTCCTTGATTTCTTACACATCACTTAAGTTATAACAAAAATGCTAAGCGTTTTTGAGACGGAAATAATTGGGCATAAATTGATAAAAACTCTTAAACTCAAAGTTTAAAATGCTTAATTATCTTTGGGGAAGTAACGATACAGTTTTTGTTTTAATAGACTGCAATTACGATAACATGGTAGCAAAATTTCACTTAGGAGATTGCTGTTGGCCAAACCATTTACTGAAATAGGAATACCCCAATAATGTATCTATGTTTCCGGCTGCTTTAATAGAAGCTTGCACCACGAAAAGAATCGTCAGTGGCATTGAGTTTATGTAAAAGCAAACATGAATTATTATATCAGAAGAAACATATTAATCTTACCGCTCGAAAGCTTTCATAGTTGTTTAATTGATTACAGTTCTTAAAGTATCTTAAATTACAAAATTTACGATTTAAAGATGTGTTAAATATCTTGCTTAGTGTGTGAAGTTTAGCCATATTTAAAGTTTTCACGTTTTTATCTTGATTTCGGTATTATTTATTTGTGTATTTGATTGATGAATTGATTGAATATTGTTGATGGCATAAGACTGCTTAATTTTGTTTAATCAATGCTCTATAAACACTGCTAGGTCAGTTCAACAGCCACATTATAAGGTTATTTCAATCAGATGACTAAACCAAAAGTTTTCATAAATGAGAAGAAACACTGATTTAAGAAGATTTTCTTGTTGTATTAAATGATTTTTCGCTTTATTTCTAAGCTTTAAGTCTGTTTTATATTTGTTAAATCTGTAATGAGCATCTGCTGAAAAAATATCCACTTGATATTTTTCTTTATAGATCAAATTCTAAATATATTGGCAACAGTATTGATTGATTACGTTGTTGTTTACCTTTTTCTCTGTTTTTGTGTTCTGCTGCTGTTGAAAGAACTGAAAAAAAGAGAGAGAAACCTGGCCATTCCAGTATGATACGAACTCTTCAGTCTTCTAAATTTTATTAAAAATGTACTACACAGTTATACTTTATCTAAGTCAAATCAACTGTGCTTATCGAATTCTAAATGATAATCGATTTGATTGAGCTGTTCTTTATTACAGTCTGACTTTTTAACATAATTAAGTAGCTTTATAAAAATGTATGTATTTATTCTTTCCAAATAATTCATTTTCGTACCTTAATTAATGTTACCTAATTTTCGTTGTTAGATTTCACTTCCTGACTATAGTTGTTTGTTATTAACAAATAGATTTAAGCATTTTACTATGTTTAACGAAATAAATAAATTCTGTTTTAATATATAAACACAGTTAAGTCCCACCATCACTTTATTTTAGCATGCATAGTTTTCAGGATATTATTTTCTTAATCATGGTTGTACCTGAATAAGTAATAAGTGGGCAGATAAGTAATAAGTGGGCAATAAAATTCAAATAATTCATGGCATTGTAAACCATAGTTATCCCATATTAAGTGAATGCTCTTATAAAAAGGGAGAAATAAAGCCCTAGTTTAATAATTTAAGTCTGAAAGATTATTAAGTAGCACTATTCAAAAAAGCATTGTAACATAAAAATGTGGGCAAAATAGTTTGTATTGCCTTTTGAAGTTAAAAAATTCACGTGTGATTTTCAATTCATGTGTTTCTGAGTCACTAATACTGTAAAAAAGGGGCTTATTTGTTCTTCATATAATTGATGTTCAATGTTGAGTTTTCTTAAAAATAATTTTTAGTAAATTGATTGGGGCCTCAAATGATTTCTATTTTGATGTTTAATTTAGTATTTTTATCTTTAAGAATCGCTACATTTATTCATACTTTATTATCAAATTTTTTTTTCTTTTGCCATGTTTACAGCTATTCTAGATAGATAACATGTGGACAAATTTACAAATAGTTCAAATAAGCTTTAGAGTTCTTTTAATTCTTGGTAAATGGGACCAAAGCCCATAGCATAAGTTAATATTTCTATTAGAAAAGGTTACATCTGAACATCTAGAAATGTTACATCTGAAATAAGATAGTTGATTATCGCAATCGATTATAAAGAGCTATGTAACACTATAATGAGGATAATATCATTAGAAAGTATAAGATAAAGTAGTGAATTCATGTGTGATTTACAAAGCACACTATCAGGGGTCTGTCTAGGTTTTTTTGAGAGGTACCTATTTTATGAAAATTTGGACATAATTTGTGAAAAATTAAAAATTATATTTAAAAATCCAACACAAAAATATGGCAAGAATATGGATTTATCATTTCTTAAGACAATGAATAAAATTTTAAGATAAAGTATTCTGTGAAATTACCGTTTTTCCTAAAATTAAATTTGTAAAACTACCGTTTTTCCTAAAGTTGATTTTGTGAAGGTACCGCTAAACGGTAGTAAATTCGGTCTGGACAGACCCCTGACTATAGTACAAATGAGGCGCTCAGAATAAAAATAATAGATTCCAACCAACCTTTAATATATGACACTATATTCCTGCTACCTATATTCTTTATTTTAAAGCATCAAATGAATTTGGAAATACTAAAAGTCCCATTTTACACCTTCTGAATTCTTTCTAAGTAAAGATAAACTAATTCTTTGTAAATAAAATGTTAGTCAATCAGAAAATGGAATTTGTTTCAAATCTATCATTATTATTTTTAGTGCCTTAATTTATATTTACTAGTATTATCATTGCAATTTACATTTTCAATCTTTATAATAATCATAAATTTATAATTTGCATAGTTTTTTGGGGGTTTGCATAGCTTTTATGTGTATTTGAACGATCTTCGCAAAGAAATGAGTATGTGTTTCTTTTATTTGTATAAAATAATGACGACATTAATAATAATCTAATAAAGGCATCTTTGAATAATAATCTTTACAATAATATAAAGCATAAAATATAGAAGTTAGTTATAAATCTTATTTACATAAAGTAATGTAATTGAATTTAGCAATCATTGCGATTACTGATCCAGTAATCAATTGATGAATCCATAACATGCACAATTAATATTTTTGATTGTTGTGATTCGGATTATTAGGACTTTACTGTTTGAAATGTTTTTATAATAAATATATTTTTTTAGTTTGTTATCAAATGGAAAAGTTTAAGAAAAGAATAAAAGGAGAAGATTCAACTGGTAAACATTCTTCTTCAACTTCAACAAAAGATGCTGAAGATTATAATCACTCAAAAAAGTTAATATCCAAATCTTCAAGAGAAAAGGAGCCAGTAAAAAGTACTATATCAAATGAAGAAAGAGTATTTTTTGAAAACAGCAATGCTTATTTCCCTTGGTTTGAGTACAGAAGCACATTAAATAAAATATTTTTTGACTATAAAGGAAAAATTAAAAGGTAAATTGTAGTTTGATATTTTTGGTGTTGTAGTTATTTGGTGAATTTTCAGTCTATTTTTAAGCATAAAAATATACTAGGATTTATCATTGTGATCACTATCAATTTATCTAAAATTTGAGTGGAAAATGTTGTCGCGGTCTATGAATAGATTATAACGTTTCATCTTTTTCCTTTTAATTTATGTAGTAGTGCTTATATTTTAAATTTTTGGTTCACCCCTAAAACCAGCCAAAAAAGTTTACAAATATATATTTTTTTATTTTAGTTTAATATACATTTTTACGATCAAACTTGTTTATTAGGAGAACAAAGAGATGAAGGCAATTTGCTTATTAAATCAGCATGCTCATTAAACCCGAGTCAGCAGAAATAATATAAATAAAAGTTAAATATTGATTGTAAAAAAACATTTCTGATATTTTTAATTTTCTTATTTTAATGACTTTTAAAGATATATCATATCATATATGTGGATCATATTAAAATCATTGAATCAATGGTGAATTTATTTTAACTTAATATTGTTATTATTTTGCTGTAAATATGTTTCTATTTATTTGTCTATGGTTTCGGGTTATAACTCCATTTTTATGCATTTTTTCATTAAAAAGTTCTCTATACTAGGGCATTTTAAAAATTTTTAAAGTTTTTAAAATTTTAAAAATTTTGTCTTTCAAGTACATTTATAATTCATGCCATGTCCTAGTGTATATATATATATATATATATATATATATGCTTAGCTGTTAACTCTTTCGGTTTTTTGGGAAAATTTTATTTTCATATTTAAAATGGTCGCAAGACTCATATTTCATTAAACTTTTTTAATTATTATAAAAATTATAAGTAAGTTTGACCACTACTACAAATAAATTATTATGACAAATATATAAAATCATAATAGTCTTTGCAGTAAATTTCAACCTAGTCCAAATATAAATATATTTTCTAGTAAGATTGTTTTTCGGTATTTATTTTACTATAATTCAGAAAATCCATTTTCGGAAAGCGTGAAAGTTAGACAGGTGTGTATAAATATATATCTATAATCTTTGTATATCTTCTTTGTTAAACTTAAAACTTTTAATTCAATTCTGCCATTGAATTTGTGGATATTTTATGTTACTTATGAAATGAAATAGTTAATTATTTTATGTTTTATTTTTTTCCACAGAAATACACCTGAGTATGATGAGTTTTGGTTATTTCTAAAGAAATATCAAAAAGTTCAACAGAAGGCCTTATCTAAAAAGGAACAGTCTGGTATGATAATATGTTTTTACTTTAAATATATCTATATACAATGAAACCTCGGTTAAGCGGATACTCTTGGGACTGAAAAAATTGTCCGTTAACCCTAATAACGAAGTTTAAATTGTTTTTAGAATATTTACAATGATGCAAAAATAATTAAATAATCTGCAATAACTATCTGCAACAATATATATTTAAACTTTAAAAAATATTTTCTATATGCAAAAAGAATACATGAAGAAGTTTGATATAAATACATAATTCTAGATGTAGCTACAAATAAATGAATTTAATTTTCCTGTTAACACAGATATTCAAGTTAGTCAAATGAGCTTAAGTCCTCAGTCGGTTTCAATTATCAATTATTATGTTTACACCCCCTAACATCTACTCATCACTTGATAGGAGATGTGGTTAATACCTCCTTGAAAGTAAACCTCCTGCGATTCACAGAAAGAAAAAGAAAAAATGAAGAAATTTTTTTTTTACCTGTAAGGCAGGAGGACCTATGAAGTTGATAGATTTACAATTAATCGTCTATCAAGTGTCTGAATAAATGTTTCATTTATATGAACTCGTCAAAGATTATTTTTCTGTTCTCTTTCTTTTTACCCCATCTGTGTTAAATACAGTCTTCAAATAGATAAGAAAATGAAAGAAATTTTCAGTGGGTAAAAAGCATTGAGAACATTAAGATATCATATCAGTTTGTGGGGTCTCATCACGTGTGTTATCCTGACAAAGTGATCCCTGTCTGAATGAGCAGTATCATTTTCTCTTCTTTCTTTGTAAAGATAAGGCAAGGTGACAAAAGAAAGATTGGTTCTTTAGTTGTGAAATAGCTTAACAATCTTTTTATTAATGGATAAGGCAAAAAATTTAAACTAAAAGTAGTGAAAAATTGCATTTTTTTCCTTGCAATTTAAGGCAGAAAAGTTTTTCTTTTTCAAATGTAGGAAAAATAGTGTCTGGTTTGAAGAGATTGAAAATAACTTTTCAGGGCAAAAATGACTGTCCGTGTCTGGTTACACTAGTGTCCGCTTTTCAGAGAACGTACATAATGGATTATCCATATAGAAGATTCACGGGGAATTGAAAACATGTTCGTACTGAGAGGCGCCCGTTTTGCAGAAGTGTCCATAACAGGAGGTTTCACCATATATATTTTTTACTTGTTTACTTTGTATTTTACATATATACTATTGAGTTAAAGTTGTTTTAATGAAATTTTTTCTATTGAGACTAGGTTCTTTTGTCCATTTTTCTTTAGTTAACAGGCATAAAGTTTTTGGTGGGTAAAATTGAATGTGTTCTTGTTTTAAGATTTGTTTTTGTTATGCATAATTTATGAAGAGCTTAGTGGAAGAATATGTTAGGTGACATTTTTTTCAAATATAATACTATCCTTTCATCATCAGGAAGCTAATGAAATATCCCCAAGGAGATGCTGAAGCATTATCAGGAAACTGTTGGAATATTATCAGGACGATGTTTAAATCTGTTTACAAATTGAAAATTGCTTAAGTGAAAAACCAGATATTACTAATTTATGTTTTATGTATGTTTACTGCTAATTGTAACATGTGTTTAGGTTTGAAAGTTTGAATTTTTTTAAAATGTCACTTAGCATGTTATTTAACTAAAGTGTTATTTAAACAAATTAAGAAAATTTAGATTGATGAACCTCTTGTCTTAAAAAGATGTATATTATTAAAGGTTGTATTAACTTGTTTCTAGATATAATTCATGAACTATTTTGAAAATTATTTCATGCTAATGCAAAGGTTGGATTAAAATCTTTAAGTTATCTTTTATAAATTTCATTTATAATTTTCTCTTAATTCTAAATTTTATTATAATAGAAAGAAAGTTTTATTTTCAGCCCTTATATATATTCCATGTATGAACCTTTGGTTACACAGCAAACATTAATGTTATTGTCCAGTTCCCACTAGACTCTATTCTCTCTGTGTCTTACAGTTTTGCTGCATCACTCAATAAGGAGGGTAAGGAGAAAAAAAATCTTTTAAATAATCTCCCAAGAAAATGTTGCACGCAAAAGGGACATATGTGCTGTTTATATTGTTGATCAAACCATATAGAATAGAGTCTGGCAAAAACTGTATTATCACATAGATGTTTGCTGTGTGATCAAGGATTCAAATGTAAATTCTATAAAGGTTGTAAGTAAAACTTGTATTTTGTTCAAGGTAAGTTTTTCAGGGTGTGTAGCGTTTTTAAAAAGTGCTTAAAGGTGCTTATTTTCGATTTTCGTTTTTTAAAAGCCCTTGAAGGTGCTTTTTTTATGGGGACTTTTTAAAAAGTGCTTAATTTTACCTTTTCAAAAATGAGAAATTTTTTTTCTTTACCATGTTGATTTTTGGCAGGTATTATGCAAAAGAGTCGTTTTCACAAAATTCTATTAAACGTTTTTCACAAATCATTCCAACACAATGCATTTTGGCGTACTGTCGTTCCATAGCGTATGAAAGCGCCAATCATATTACATGCTTGATGAAATGCTTGCTGGTCTTCATGTGCATATACTGAGCTGGATTCAGTGAGAATTATTCAGGGTGGCCACCTACCTGGAAAACCTTTAAAATCTGGAAATATCAGGGAATTTTTTTATACTGGAAAAAACCTGGAAAAGTCAGGGAAATTTGGATAAAAACCTGGAAAAATCAAGGAATTTAGAAGAAAAGCTGGAATTTTCCACTTAATTTAAATGATTTTACCATCCGTTTTATCCTCTTCTATTTAGACGTAAATTTATCGTAAAAAAGTTGAAATATCATCAACTTAGCAATACTTTTCTTGCATTAAAATTTTCTTCATTATTACCCTGCTAAACTTGAATGCCATTTCAAACTCTTTTATGTTGGGAAATGATTGGAGAAATCTTTGACCTCTTTGGAGATTATGGAACTATGCAGTTTACGAAAGGCAAAAATGTGGAAGAAAAGATTAGGATATTTGCTTCTGTTTATAAAAGTAGCGTTTTTTGTTTAAAATCTTCTTTTAGTCTGTGGGCTGAATTCATTAATTGTTCAAGTTTGTTCCGATGCTTCGGGGGTATTTTTTTCTTTTATCAAATTATTCAAAATGTTTCAGTATTTTTAACTTTATAAAATTCTCCAAAAAACAATTATAATTTAATTAGAGATTTCATCTTGCACTCTTTTTCTGAAATCTTTTGTTCAATGAATTATTTTTCTCAGCAAAGCCAATCAATCACTAATAGTGACACTTTTCTTGTACCTATACTACACTTTAGCGGGGGGAAAAACACGCTGACCTGGAAATTTTACGATTTTTACTGGAAAAATCAGGGAAATTTGAAATCTGATTTGAGCGGCCACCCTGTTATTCTTACCCTATCATGTGTAACTCTGCTGCATTTTGCAAGAGATTCTCAATTTCCGGCTTCATTTTCCTCCCTCTGAAATCAAACTGCAGAATATCTTTTTATGATGGCTAATGTAATCAAGAAAAGAGTTCTTTGTCAGAAACTAGTTATTTTATCATAATCATGTAAAGTCTTTGAAAATTATTTTGCATTTTGTTACTGTATATAGTGCTTAAAAATATTTTTTAAGTGCTTATTTTTTGTTGAAATATTTGGCTATGCACCCTGTTTTTGCTGTATTTGTCTTAGTTTTTATTTTTACTATGTCTTTTTAAAAACTCCACAGGTATTATGAATAGTTCTTTATTTAAATTCAATTTTATTTGTTTAGGCTCATCAAGCAGCCACTCTTCACACAAAAATTCAACTTTTTCTCTTACTTTGGCTGAACTGAATAACATGATGATGAAAGGACACATATTTAATGATGATAAAGAATCTGCTCTGAATGAAGAACTTTTGGTAGAGTTTGCTTACATTATTGAGCTCTATTTAAACTGCCAAAAGAAGCAACAAGAAGCTAAAATTCTAAAGCTGCATGAGGCTCAAGAAAATTTACCGATTAGTAAATATCGTAATGACATTTTAAAGGCTGTAGAAAGTAATCAAGTGGTATTAATAGCTGGTGATACTGGTTGTGGTAAATCAACTCAAGTGCCACAATATCTGATGGCTGCAGGATACGAAAGTATTGCTTGCACTCAACCTCGTAGAATTGCTTGCATTTCTTTGTGTAAACGAGTTTCTTATGAAACTTTAAATGAATATGGATCATTAGTGGGTTATCAGATTCGTTTTGAAAAAAGTAAAACTGCTCACACTAAAATATTGTTCTTAACTGAAGGCCTCTTGTTGAGGCAAGTATCATCTGATCCAATGTTATCTGCTTATAAAGTGGTCATTTTGGATGAAGTTCATGAGAGACATATATCATGTGATTATTTGCTAGGTATAATGAAATGTTTGACAATTCAGAGACCAGACTTAAAAATATTGCTGATGTCTGCTACAATCAACATTGAGCTATTTTCAGAATATTTTCAAAATTGCCCTGTGATACAAGTAAGTTTTTTTTCTTCTTAAAAATTCCTCATATTTTCCTCATTTCACATATTTTTTGGCAATGCAACCTTGGATGTCCCATCCATCCGTTTAGGTGATTATGTAATATTTGAATGGCCCCTAACTGAAATTTCTGCTAATGTTTATCTTATTACTTTTATAATGGTCTTGTGTCAGGATGAATAGATTTGAAATTTTAATAAACATCATTTGTGTGGGGAATACTAACATGAATTTAACATATGAGCCATCGAATAACGAGGTAAGAACTAAATTGCCAAAATAAACTATTTATTAAAAACTTTACAATAAATACTGAATTATAACATACTTCCAAAATAGTTGGGGAAAGAAAATTATGCGCCCTGAAACTCTCAAAGGCCAAAATAAACATGCAGTGGCGGAATCGCTAATGCAACTGACTGGCGAGCAGTCAAAAATATTTTAGTTAGCAAGAGTCTCAGAGCGCATGCGTAACAATCAACAAATAACAAATTAGAAAAGATTTCTCCTAATAATTTATTCAACTATGGCTGAACAATTTGAAGTAATATTAATTATGATTTGTTTTCATTCTTAAAAGAACTAATTGCAGATACATTGGTCAGGCTTTAATTTTTTTTAAGAAAGTGACGACATATTTTCGAAAAATTTTCTTACAAAGAGATAAATTTATTTAAAAATTACATTTTAACCTAATTGTTATCTTTAGAAACTATTTAGAATATTTTTAGTTTTTCAAATTAAATGTGTGCTAATGTTCATTTTATTATTTTTTAACAGTCTTACCTATTTAGTATTAAGTATAATATCTATTCAGTTAGAAATATAATAGTCTTATACATTAAACTGCATAAGATAAATGTTACAAAAGCCTTTCATTATGTCAAATAAGAGTATAAAACAATCAGAAACTAAACACTATGAAATATTTTAATTTATATCATGAGAATATTACCACTTAATTTGAAATATTTGTTTTGTTATAACATGTTAAAAAAAACTAATTTTACTTTTTTCTCTTATATTTGTTTTTATAAATTTTAGGTACCTGGTAGATTATTTCCTATAGAACTGAAGTATTACCCAATTCCTACTGAGGAACAAAAATCTGTTTCTGGTAAACTGAACCCTGGTCCTTATATTCGAATACTGAATCTCATTGATCAAAAGTACCCAGAAGATGAAAGGGGAGATGTTCTCATATTTTTGAGTGGTATGACAGAGATATCAATTGTAGAAGAAGCATCAAGAGCATATGCTGAAAAGAGTAACAAATGGATCATATTGCCATTGCATAGTTCTTTGTCTCTGGAAGATCAAGATAAGGTTTAACATCAATAATTATACATTATTTTATTCATACTTCAGATGTCTCAAAGATAACCACTTCTTCAAAAAATAAATAAAATAAAAAAGTGGACGGAATAGAAATACACTATTTGCTGTGATATGTTGAGAAAGCTAGGATAATAATTTTATCAAGTTTTGAAATTAGTTACAAAGTTTGTCAACAGATGGTGTTACTAACTGGAAAACACTGAAACAATGTTTTCTATTGTATGTGATCTGCTAATTTTGTCTTCGGACTGCCCACTATTGTTGTTGCAAATAGTGGTTATTTTGAAAACATTGGGTTTTATGGTTTTGTCCAATTATAAATGTTATATGTTAACAAACTTTGTAGCTTTGTAGGAATAAATTACTGTACTATTCTATTTCTGTTATTGGTTTTTGAAATTGTTTTTTTTTTTTAGTACTCTTATTTATTTATTCTTTGTTGGCATTATAATTTATATTATTTGTATTTTAATTTGTAATATCATTAATATAAGGTTTCTAAAGATAAGTTCTGTACAAAATAAGCAATCTGTTATGCAAATATTCTACTTACAACAATATAATCTGTTACGCATGTTTCTGCTTAAATTTTAAAAAATGTTTCATTTTAAGTGTAAATTACAACAATAACATTGAATTTTCTTTCAGCAACAAAAAAAAAACAAAATATTACTATAAACAAGAAATAAATAAAGTTTAAGAAATGAAATAATTAAGCTACCAATCTTTATCTTCGAATTAAATAATTAAGCTACCAGTTTGGAATTTTTCTTACTGACTTTTAAATAGAATTTCCATTCATATACAAAATAAGTCTTTTTTTTATGATAAGCTTTTCTTTACTAGAACATTCCATTATAGCTAAACTTCCATTAAAATGACTGATACATTAACTCCCATTTTTATTTATTGTGCTTAACATTTTATATTAATTAAATGATGAACTTAGATGTTTTCAAAATCTTTTTGTTGTTGAATATTGCTTAAAAAATCCAGTGTTTAACAGAAACTGCATTTAATATATGATGTTCAAAATTTATATGCTGTTTATTTTTTGCATAAATTTAATAAAAATTGGAAGTTATCTAATTTATTGCTATAAATTTTATTTGAATGGAGTTTTATGTTAGTTCATGCTGAAAACAAACTCTTTTGAGTTCACAGAATTTCTTTTAATAAATATTCTTTACATAATATGAAACTGAAAAAATGAATTCAGTAGAGTCCCGAATATCTGACAGCCTCAGGAGTTGGGGTATTTAGGAAAATCGAAATCATTAGATAATTGGAGGATCTTTTCAAAATTATTTTTTAAATGTATAAATATTGAAATTAATCAAACTAATTAAAAATTACAAAAAGGTTTAATAAACACTTATTTGTATAAAATTTTTTTCTACTTTTAACAGATAAAATTTTGGTAGAATATCATGAAAAAAAAAGTAATTTATGCATTTTTTTCCTGTTTCCTCGTACTTTCCTAGTGACTTAATTTGGGATTAATCATCATAACAATAATTGGATTAAATTGAATGTGGTGCTTATTTGCACAATGTCTAAAAAAAGGTAACATTAAATCTAATGAGTAAGCATGTGTTGTGAATCTTTTAATGCTTCTGGGAAGGGGGGTTTCGGATGATAAGATAATTGATTGGGTGTCAGATAATCTGAGTTCTAAAATATATTTAGCTAAACATGAGTTAAATGATCAATAAATTTATTTTGAAAAACCATAAGTAGTTATGCTCCTAATTTAATAATATGCTTATTTAATCTTTCAAATAAATATGCCAGGTTAACTAAAATGGTGTAGTGAAAAAATTTCAAAATAATTCATTTTATTTATTAAAAATTCATATACTTTTGAAATTTCTTTTTCATCAAATTTCTTTTCCAAAATAATTATTTTTTTCTCTTTTTTCTTCAAATAACACAATCAACTGAACTTTCAATCAAACTTCCTCAAGATACAAATAATTTCCTTTTATTTTTTCACAAAAATGATGTTTTTCAAAAGCTACTGAAGGACTTAATAATCAGTTATCATTGCAGTTTCAAATGCAGCTTTGAAAAATGATAGTAATTTTTTTCTTTGTTGTGGCATCTTTTTAAAACTATAATTTTATGTGAAAATTTTAAAATTTAGGTGTTTGACATTGCTCCAGATGGAGTGCGGAAATGTATAATCTCTACTAATATTGCTGAAACATCAGTAACTATTGATGGAGTCAGATTTGTTGTTGATTCTGGAAAAGTAAAAGAAATGAGCTACCATCCTATTTGCCACATGCAGAAGCTACAGGAATTTTGGATTAGCAAAGCTAGTGCTGAACAACGCAAAGGACGTGCTGGTATAAATATATACTTTTATTTATTTATTGTCAAAATTCTAAATGCAATATTTGCGTATCCATTGTGCAATTTTTACTCAATCATGTAAAAAGTAATTGATATGCATGATTTCTAAATTGAAAGAATTGTGATGTGTGATTCCTAAGTCATATGAATATGAATTGCGGTGAGAGGATTTTTAAACCATATAAAAAGATTTGAACTTTTCAAATCTTAAAGTAGAATTAACAAGTAATCGTTTAATCTTATGATTCATTATTATCTTAGTTGTAATATGGTGTCAAAAAAGTAAATGTTTCAAATACTATTGTTTTTATTTTATAACACTATTACATTACATTTAATAATAGTTACTTATCTATTACTGATTTTATGATTAGTACACCTAGAAAATGTACCAAATTTAGCAGTCTTAACTAATCTTTGTAGTTTTTTTAAAGGTTGGACCCTTAAACGACTTATAAACATAACCGCAAGATAGTCGTGTTTGCAAATATCCTTTAAAAATCTTTTAAGAAAACTATTTTAAATAATAAAATCTTATTTCATATTTTTCACATATGTGACCTTTGCAGGGTTGCCACAAACAAGACAAGGAAATTAGGGAGAACTGCGAAAATTCAGGGAATTTTATCTATCTGGGAAAGTCCGGAAATGTTTGGGAATTTAATTAAAATATCTCAAAAGCCAGTGAAAATGAATCAATTTGATTTTCAAAATATTTGAAAGTCCAATATTTCCCCCCAAAAATTATCCTTATCAATTTTTTTTTAAAAAATAGTTTATTTTCAAATCTAATAGCAAGAATAAATGTTTTGCAATGTGTATTATGTAATATGTATTATGTAATGGAATAATGTATGACTAAAAACATAACATTTATGTCATCGGTTACAAAAAGCAGGAAGATTTTATAAAAAATTTGGAAAAATCAGGTATAAGTCAAGAAATTTTTTTTCTGGGAGTTTGTCACCCTTTAATAATCTTTCAAACGAATTCAGCATTGCATCATAATTTTGAAATTTAACTAAAAGTACTTCCTCTTTCCAAGAAGTTAGCATTTTTGAACTGTTTCCCCCCCCCCTCCAAATTATGACCGTATATGCACCATTTTTAATGCTTTCAGTCTAATTAAAAGGTAAAAATATCTCTGGTCAAGGCATTTTTGCATGAGAATAATGAGCAGGCATATTACCCTCATAATGCTGAATCAGTTATAAGAATTAACTGAAATAATTTTAAAAAATTTATCATTGAACATTTTTGTTGCACTTAATCATTCATAAATAAGAATCTATCTTGGCATTTATGTCCATGTGTGAGTGTATGTTTATTATTATCATTCTGATAATTTGATAGGTAGAACTGGTCCTGGAGTTTGTTTTCGAATGTACTCCCTGAAAGAGTATGATGGCTTATGTGCTTATACAAAACCAGAGATTCAAAGAGTACCATTGGATTCTTTGTTACTTCAACTGCTTTCAATGGGTTTACCTGATGCACGCAAGTTTCCTTTTCTTGAAGCACCTGATATGGTCAGCATTGAAGAATCACTGCAAAATCTTAAAAACCAGGTGATATATTGAACAAATTTAGCTTCCAGCCTTCATTGTCAAGTTCAGAGTAAACCAATTATTTTACAGAGTAAACCAATTTTATTTTCCATTGTGTTAAATGGTAGAGAAGTTTTGCCTGATAAGAAATTTTTTCTTCAAGTAACTAAAAGGGTTGAATTTGCTATTAAATTTAAGTTCATTTAAATGTATGATTGCTTGATTGATTGCACCTGATTGCTTGAAATTTCTGGTGAAAAATTTTTTTAACAATCATTTGGACTATTATTTTTTGTATCCCTATTGCTTCTGAATGCAGAATTGCAATTCTAAATGCAGTTTTCAAATATGGAAATCTTGGTTTATGTTTTGTACTAAAATTTGTAAGCAATTACAAAATAAAATGTTTTTGTTAGGAAAATCGTTAGAAATGTGATTAACTTTCCAGATCAATTTTTTTTTCTTTCCCACCTTCAATTTTATGTAGTAGTTATACTATAATATTATTTTTTTTAAGCATTATACGATGTCCCCCTGCTATATGGGCATAGCAGATGGTAAATTTTATAGGGCGATGAAATTTAAATACATAGTCACACTAGTTCTCTAAATTTCACATAAATAAAAATGAAAAGCTTGCTAAACATCTGCAAAAAGGTTAATTAACTTTCAAGAGTTTAAATCTATAATAATTCATTAAAGATTTCCTTATTTGTTTGAAATATTGAGGGGGACTTCTAATCAGGGAGGGAAGATTTCTAATTGAGGTGTACATATACTGTCTCCCTTCAACGACACCCATGTTTTGTGCCCTTATATTTTTGCAGTCTTCCTACTTTAATTCTCTGCAATGTTAAACTGATTCAAAATGTCTTTAATCTCTTGATTGAATCCTAGTTGCTGTTTTCCAGAACTTTATGTTAATAGCTTTCCTTCATTAAATCGATTATTTCTCTGAAATTTATTAAGAAAATATGTTGGAGAATTTCAATAAAATTTTGATTCTCTATATAATTAGGAACATATAAATCTCTCTGTAACATATAAATATTTTGAAGAGTATATTATATTTATGCTTTTTATTATCAAAGGGTGCTCTAACTGAAGATGAAGAGTTAACAGCTATGGGTCAAATGCTTGCCAATTTACCGGTTGATGTAACTATAGGGAAAATGCTGATACATGGATGCTTATTTTCAGTTATTGAACCAATGTTGTCATTGGCTGCAGCTTTGAGTGTACAGACTCCTTTTACTAATCGTTCTAATAGAGATCCTGACATAAAAGTAGGATTCTAAGTTATTTTTAGAAATTTATGTTTCATTTATATCAATATCCTACATCATTTATATAAGAAAACTAACATATATGCTTGTAAATTATTTATTTTTAGAGTGTTTCTTGAAATTTTTTTTTATGCCGAATGTATTTTTGCATTTTTTTATTAATTTATGAGCATTGTTTGAATAATTTGATCGTTATTTTTATATTTTTTTAAAACTTTTTTAAGTATGAATTTTTGTGTCTTAGTAAAAATAAAAATAACTATTTCTACTAAAAATTCAAAGACTTTACAGTTAAAAAATTGACATTACTATCTTATCAATAGTTGAGTCGAGTTCTTATGTTTTACGGCAAGATAACTTAGAAAATCATTATCAAAGAGGAAAAGAATTGTGTAATGTATGCTCTTGCAAAACATACCACTTACGGTACATTTACCTGAATTTCAGCTATTTAATGAATATTGTTTTTTCATTGGAATATATATAGATAAACAATGACGAGGAATTTCTAAGTAAGTTGTGGATGTCAGATGAAGCCCATTCAAATTACATGTATAAGCTACCATTACTGGACTTAATGAACTTACTTAATGAAGTTCATGAGCACCCTTTACTCGTTAGTAAGGTGTGCTGTTTCATTACATAGAATCATTTGACTTTATTTTTTTGAAAATGAGCAAACGATCACGGTAACTGTTAATGCGGATCGTTATAGAGATGTTACAATCTTTCATTACATCAGAATTAAAGAATTTCCCACACGTTTGAGAAACCTGGTTTCAAAAAAAAGGAGTAACATCACATATTACATGGCAATCAATGGAAGCTGTGTAATATTGTTTGGTTACTGTGTGATCTGAAGATACGATAACGTACCCTGGTCTTCTAGATCATCAGATTTGTCCGTTTGTAATGTTTTTTTGTGCGGCTATCCCAAGAGTAAAGCGTACATGACTCCACCAAGAACTCTGGATGTGTTATAACAGAGAATTTGAGATGGCAGAATGCATCTGAGGGACATAATTTTTAAAAAATGATAAATTCCATTAATCTTTCTCGAATGGCAAGTTTTAAGATTTCAATTACTATGAATAAAATGTTTTACTAACGTCACTCTTGGTTTTGTTGGATTGTTTAAAAGTTTCTAACTTTTTTTTGTCACCCTGTATTATAATAAAATTTCAGTTCAATGTGGTAAGTCGGTAAATATATACAGTGTTCCAAGTCAGTACTTAGTCTAAATTCTGCCTTTCCATCGCAATTCCTTATTAATTAATGACAAAATAATTAAAATTAAAATAAACAAACTAATGTAAATTAAATTGAAATAAATTATTATAAATATTGGAATGTCTCTACAAAATATCTAAAAAAATTGTGTTGCTAAGTCTAAGATGGGGCACAGTTATAAAACTTGTAGGGGTGCACCTAAGTCTATTTGTGCTACTGATATACATTATATTTCAACATTAACTTAGTTATCATTTATTGGTGCATTTTTTTTAAAGTTAGTTTCTTTGCAATTTTTATAATTAACCTGTTGGCAGAAATTTAATTATTAAATAAAGTTCTAAAAAATTTACTTCCAAAAATTTCATTAAAGAAATCATAATTTGTTTGTTTATCTTTTGAACTGAAACTATTGTAGTATAAGTTTTTAACTAATATATTTTTTTCATTGCTTAGGTTGCAAGGCAATCGATAGAATCAGATCACGGGGACCCATTTACTCTGCTTAATGCATATCACAAATGGCTCGAAGTTAAAGCTCAACGTCATAGCAACTCTCGTAAGTGGTGTCGCCAAAAAGGGCTAGAGGAACAAAGATTTTATGAAATGACAAAACTCAGGCGCCAATTTAGAGACCTACTAAAGGTATTGCATTGATTTAAAAATGTAAAGATGTTACATTTATCTTTTTTTTTTAATTTTCTGAAGCTGATTTTTACTATACTACATCTAATCTCATTAATTCTCTATTTACAATTTTTTTTATAGAGCTGTATAAATATTTACTATTTATTAAGTATTTAGAATTATTGTTAACAATATATTAGATTTTTTTAATTCCATTTGTTCTATTATCATTGATCATCATTAGAAATTTTCTGAATGAATTGTTTATAAATTCAGTAAACTAGTGACTTAATTTAAATCCTAATGCACATTTGAGAAACTCACTTGTTATTTTTTTTATCTTGTTTTTAGATTTTTATTTTATAAGCATGTTGATAATTTGCAAGCAGATACCTCAGTTTCCAATTTCTAGATATTTTTTAGTTTAGATTTAAACTTTTAAAAGGCTGGTTGTCCCCATTCACTAAGAAAGAAATTATTTACCATTTAGACATCAAATGAATAATCTCAGAAATCACCTTATCAATTACATTAAAGGTCATAAGATGCCCTATTTTATCTTTGCCTTAAAATTAGTTTCTAAAAATATGCCGGGCCAATAGATTTGGTTGCTCAATCTTGTACCAGAACTATTATCAATATATATATATTGCTAACAGGTATTATCAATGGTCTGGGATTTTTTCTCAGTGATGATCTCTTAGTGACAGTGATTTCTCAGTGACAATACTTGAGCTTGCTCATGCTGTAATTTTTATCAGAGGTCAATGATGGTAGTAGTCATCCTGCTTCAGCATCAATTTTCCCAACCAACTCTGCATGGACTTCTCTGCCCCTGAAACCACTAGAGTCATTATATTAGAATGGATTCAAAATCACTAAGATATGATCATAGAAAATGCAATCCAATCTGATTCTCAGACTTTAACACAAGAAATTGAACTGCCACCCAATTTGTATAAGCAAAGACTAAACCTACCTCATCTACTGAATCAGGTTTAAAAGATGAATAAAATGGTTTTCGTTTCTCATGTTTTTAATTCAGGTGGTAATAACAAACCTAAACTGTTATTTTTTTCCAAAATCAATGTTTAACTCAAGCTGATAACAGTCTTGATTAGTTCAGAAACTTGATAATCCACATGCAGGCAATCTGAAGTATACTAATTCTTTCTTCTTCTTCTTTTTTTTTTTTTTGAAAATTGTAAAAATTAAAATATATTGTGTTTAATTCAGTATCATTCTGTTTTTAATTAGAATTTGTGTTCTGTTTTTAGGATAATAAATTGCTTTCTGATAGTCATTTTCATACTAGTAGTCGTGAGCGTTCAGCAAGGCACAGTGAGCTTTCACATTTAAGGGATATGAAGAGACAATATCACCAAGCTCCTCGTAAGAGAAAAATATTAAAACTTGATAGTGATGTTTATACAAATGAAGATCGTGATGAGGAAGATGGTACTATTAATATTCATGATGTCGATTTTTGGATATCAAATAATAGCTGGCAAGTACAGGTAAGGCATTTGTCATGATTAGATAATCAAAAAATAAAATGTTCAATAGTTTCAAATTGTATTATGTAATTTCAAAAATATTTACTTTATTGTATTTTCAATTTGTTAAAATTAATATATGCATGTTTAATAAATACTAACTATATTTGAAAGATGAAATATATTCAAGTGTTTTTAATTGTATTTTTTTAAAATTTTATACCTATTTTTTATTTAGTATATTTTTGCTGAAACCTTCATAAGTTGCAGGTATCAATTTTTAACAACTGATATCTTTGTTTATTATTAAAAAAATTTAGAATGTATAAAGCTTTTTCTTTTTAATTTTCATTTTTAAATAAAATAATACAAATTATTGCATTAATTATCGACTATGTCAACTTTCATCTATCAAAAGGTGCTTCAAGGTAGAATAAATTAACATGTATACTAGTAAATTGGTATTTAGTATTTATAGTGGTAGTTACTCCATAATTGCTTTGTTTTACAATTCAATAATCGTAAAATTTTTTTAAAATCTTTTGTTAGATGTTATCATCTAAAAGTCAAGTATCTTCTTATCGTGATATGATGTGCTTAAAGTTTATAGTTTGCAGTGCTTTGTACCCACGTATAGCACTTTCTGATGTACATAATTCTCAGAAATCCTCTGGTGAACTGCATTTTCATACAAAGGTATGTTTTTTAATGTTTGGCTCTTATTTTATGCTAATTCTTGTTTGTTCTTAAGTCTCAAAATTTAAATAGTCTCTTCTTTATAATCTTATCTCTTCTTTTATAATCTTTTACGAAAATATGTTATAGGTTTTATTGTATTTTTTTAACTTTCTTTATGTTTTAAAAAAATATATTCTTATAGTATGCAACATTAGTAATATTATATTAACCAATAAATGTGTTTATTTTTTATGCACCGATCAAAAAATTATTAGTTTGAGTAAAAAGTCATTCCTATTTTCATATTTTTCATATTTTTTTGAAGCATTATCTATTTATAACTAACATTTTCTTTGTCAACTGTAATTAAATGTATTTTATTGATTGTTTTAGAATTTTATTATTATGATAAAATTCTCTCTTAAAGTTTTTCACTAACTTATTTTATTTCACAAAACTCTTTTTTTCAGGGAAAACCATTTGTAGTACTTCATCCTAATGGTAGTTTAGCTTTACAATCAGATTTATTGCAATTGAAAGAGACAGATATAGTTGAATTAAAGCATGTTAGGTCTGCTACTCATATGAGTAAAAATCATCAACTACTTTATTTTTTGTAAGTCAGTTATATTCTCATTTTTGCTACAAATTATATTCTTTATTTTGTTATGTAATTATAGCATAATGTAATATTTAACTCTGATATTTCTATTGTTGATATTTCTATTTTGTATTAAATATGGTGTATATTTGCAGTTACTTAAGACATAACTTCATGCATTTTCTTTTTGCTTCTTTCCCTGATATGGAAGATAGATTTTTTTTTATATATCTGTTTAGTTAGGGCCAAAAATAATTAAAAAAAATATTGCATCATTGCGTTTTACTTAAATTTTTGGGCAGGAGTAAAAAAGTAAAATTTAATCTTTGAAAGCTTTTTAATAAGTTTCTTTTTATGACTTTTGTATAAGAGACATGTTAAAAGAAGCTCTCCAGTAAGATTTTTTAAAATGTTAAATAAAAGTTTGTGAACCATAATTTTGTTAAATAGTTTAAAGGTTCAGAAACAAAAGCAAAAAATAAGTTACATTTATAGTTAGAATAAAAATAACTTTTCAGCTATCAGTGCTAAACGTAATAACTGAAGCTTAATCACAGGTGAAGAAGCAGAATAACAGTATTTCTCCATGACCAATCCTGTAATATCTATAGGGATTAATGCTGCATATAAACTTTCAGTAGAATAAGTTTTCAAAAAGTGTCTTGCTGTGTTTGATTTTTATCAAAAAAAATGAATGAATAATAATACTGTAAAGGAAAAATTAAAAGAATGCAGTAATCGATTCTGCAAATAAGTTTATTTTTAGAATAAAAACTGATTTACTCAGACATTTTTTTGTTCTGTAAGTTGTCTAATATTTGAAAACTAGCTTTAATTTTTATGTTATTGTGAGGAAACAAAGTTTGTCTTTCATTTAGCATTAAAAGAAAGCTTAAAAGTTTAATATCATATCTATAATATTCTGCTTTAAAAAACAACTTTCTTTGAACAGAAAATATTGGTGAAATTTAATTTGAACTGATATAAAGTATGGAAGCGAACAAAATAGGCCAAAAGATTTTTATTTTATTTTCATTTAAACAACATTTGTCCATCAAGAATGCAAGGTTATCTAGGTGGAATTTGTTAGAATATTTGAAAAACATTTTTAGTTTAAATATCTGAAATGCTTTCTTTATAACATTGATGAACACAACTATATATTTTTAAAAAATTTAAATTTCGTATTGAATGTAATTGCAATCAAATAATAAGTAAAAAAAATACTTTTTTGATTCTTCTGCTCTACAGTCAGAACTAATGTTCAATCCGAACTAAAGAATGTATGTTTTTTTAATCATATATATTTATAAATAAAAATTTTATGTTAAAAAATGTAAATATATTTTAAAAGGTGTCATTTCTAAAATATTTTACATAAAAATACTAACATATTTTAAAAATTTTGGTTTTAAAATAAATATTTTTTGTTGCAAGAGTGATTAAAATAAATATTAATAATATAAACATTAATAATATAAACATTAATTATTAACATAAATTTTTTGTAGCAAGGAAAAACCCTGTGTAAATATTCATTTTCATGAATTTATGTATGATTTATATTTAAACATTAATTCAAATTCATATCTATTAAACAATATGTAAGTAATGTGTATAAAAAATATTGAAATTATTATCTGATCTATGTTTTAACAGGATGCGTAGCGTTTTTAAAAAGTGCTTATTTTTATTTGGGGTTTGTAAAAAGTGCTAAATTTTCTATCTTTTAAAAATGAATATTTCTTTGCCTTGTTGATTGTCATTCTAAATTACAAAAATGCATGATTTTCGCAATTTTCCTTGCAATATTTATGAGAAACTAGCTATTTTATCATAATAATGTAAATTTTTTGAAATTGTTTTTGAATTTTATTGAACAAATTAAGAACTTTAAACAATAGAAATTTTTTTTATTACTACACATATTCTAATTATTATTATTATTATTTTTTTTTTTTGTATAGTGATTAAAAATATTTTTTGAGTCCTTAAAAAGTGCTTATTTTTTTTGTTGAAAAATCTGGCTATGCACCCTGTTTAATACTTCAAAAAAATTTTTATTAGCTATTATAAAATGTGTATTTTTAGTTTATTAAGCGAATTTTGCAAATTTTCTCAGGTCTTTACTTGAAACAACAAAACCATTTTTAGTTAACTGCTTGCGGGCACCATCAGCTCATACTTTGCTTCTTTTGTCACACTCACTTGACACAAACCAAGATTTTACAAGGTAAATATATGATACCAAACAAAATATTATTATTTATTCAATGTTCTACTTATAATTCTTATTCTTATTTAGATTATGGGTCTTGTATGTACTTGTTGATTTTTATATTTGATTGCTTTTTACTTATATATTATGTAAAATTATATGTTATGTCATAATTTTATGTAAGCTGGTAATTCTTATTTTTGTTTAGTTAAATTTATTTCGTTAAGAGATAATGGATTTCTAAATATGTTTTGAATAATACAATAAAAATAATCTTGATGATGTTACATTTGCAGTTACTGACATAATATTGCATGACTGATAACTACAACTTCATTATAATACATTTATAAACAAAATTATGTTTTACACAAAACAATAAATAAAAAAAGCCAAGTTATATTTGAATTAATTTTCAAAATTTATTATATAATTAATTTTCATTTTCTGAATATTTTAAAATAGCTACCAATGTATACTTATTATCTATTTAGTATTTTATTACTTCTATTTTATTCATCTCCGTTAAACTATTGCAGAATTTTAAGACCAACCAAATACTAAGTAAATCTATTGTTTTTATAATTTTTAGTTATTTTTTTTACAAATTGTAACAAATTTATACTTATAATCATAAGGAAATATAACAATATAAATCAATTCCTTTTCATATTTCATAAACATGTTGCAAGAATATTTTGTTTTTTTTAATTTGCAATGCTGTTCTTTAAATATCTTTTTGTATTCTTATGTTATTTATTTAACTAGTTGTATGAAATATTTTTTTTCATTAACTTTCAAATATTTTTTTCATAATTGTGATAAAATATAGTTATTGACAGAGATGATTGTGCTCTGGAAAAAATTCTGGATTTCTGGGTTTTTCATTAACCGTGAGCCAGAAATCCAAGTACTAGAAGTTTCAAGAAATAATCGATCACATTTACGTCTAAATTTTTTATATATATATTATTAAAAAATATTAGAATTATTTGAACTATAGAATATTAGAATAATTTATACTTGGCATCTCTTTCATTTGTAACTATTTTTTTTTTAGAATAATAAATGTGATTAGACATAAAAGTAAACTTATTCATTTAAATCATGTTGCAATTTATTTAGAATTTCATGTCTTTAAAATATCAATGATTTAAATTTAGAGATTAAGCACTAATTTAAATTTGAAGGCATTAATTTAATAAAATGCGTTATTAAATATTACTCGAGAAATTTTCTGGATTTGTGAGTTGGACTCACGATCACTCCTGTATTGGTTATAAAAAGAAACATTTATAATGAAAAATTGTGTGCTCAAGGGTTAAACAAACTATATTTGTTTAGAATCGTGTGTGATGGTTGGATTGAACTAAAATTTCATGAAACAGAACCCATTCAAGATTTTGTAAGTCAAGCCTTTGAAATTAGAGATGCCTGGCAACGCTTATTGCAAAAAGCCTTTGAAGGTAAATATATTGTTATAGTTATATATTACTAACATAACATATAATTTTTCTAAATAATGTTATTCAAACAAAAATTTTTTATTAATATGATTAAAAATTGAGATTAGGATCTCTTCAAAGTGATTTGTAATGAAAGAAGCAAGTAATGAGAATTACTTAAACAGAATTTTTTTTTCAAGATAGTTGATTTACTGTTGAATTGTTTATAATAAGTGTGTGCAAATTTTTTGATAAAAGGGCTTTATAAAAAAAGGCTTCATAGAATTTCAAGAAAGCTGCAATGAATTATGTTTATATTAATGGATGTTTAAGTACGGAATTACTTCTTTGTGTAATAAAAATTATATGAATTTGTCTTAAAAAAATTAGGAGACAAAACATTTTTAAATTAAAAATATTTGAATGACTTGAAAAATTTTCAAACACTACGTAGCTCATTATAAAATGTAATTATAATATGTTTTCAACTTTTTCTGCAGAAAAATTAATATTATTTTTTCCTGAATATAAATTGCTTAGATATTTTCTACATTTGTTTTGAACATGTTTTGCATTAAGAAATTTTTTTCAAAAAAATTTACTTTAAAAGATTTATATCTTTTGATATTTTCAATAAGTACCTCTTCATTTTGAAATTTTAACGTAATGAACTTAGTACTCTATTTTTCCAAAAGAGAAATCTGTGAAGAGCCCATATTAGTGGGAAGAATATTTTGTGGGGTTCTTTTTAATGAGTAAGTTTTGGTCTAGAATCTGTTAACAAACTTAAATTTCTCCTAAAATGAGCCTTGGTTATAAAATTTCTTAATCCACTTATGTTCCATTTAATTCTTGGTTGGAAGGGAAGGAGCTACACATTAACTTATCAAAGGCATATTTTGCAATCCTAATTTATAATGTGTATAATCAGTGTTTTCCATATGTATATTTTGTGTCTTATAGTGCTATTACTCATTTCGTGTAGGAAATAAATAAAACATTTCACTTAAAAAATGTAAAATAACTAAATTCTGTTAAAATTTAAACTATGAAAATTTCAGGTACACATTTCCTAGTGGATGAATTTCTTAATTTTGCATTAGATTAAAAAAACAATCTATATAAAGTGATTTTTTAAAGGATAAATAATTGCAGTCTGTAAATTATAATTTCTTACTATATTTGCAAAGTTTTTCTGCAATATTTAAGTGTTTTTTTTTTTTTTAAATTTTTTTCTTTAACCTATTTGTGAAATAAAGCAACTCTGAAAGCTAAACTCTGTTTTTAAAAAAAGCAGAGTTTATCTTTCATCTATATGTTTCTTCATTCAAATTTGCCATTTGTAATGACTAAACCTATTTAACAAGCATTTATATTGTATTTAGTAACAAAAATATTCATTCAATTATGAAAATGTAATTTAATTACATCTTGTATCCTTTTTCTATGAAAAAAAAATATGTAAGGAATGTTCTTTAAATTTTCTTTCCTCATTTATATTCTTTAGCAAAAAAATTTACTTTTTTTTTAATTATGTGCGTTTTTATCAATTATTCATAGTTGTTAAGTTTAGTTTTTCTCTAAGGAGTAATTCTTGTTTTTGTAGGAAACTCTCTAAAAAATTAATAAGATGAGAAAAATCTTACTTTTTTGCTTCCTTTATAATTTTAGTTTTTGCTTATAAGAGTTGTTTGTTCCTTCATATTTGTTTCCTATCTAATTTTAGTTTATTTCTTTTAATGTCTATTTGTTATTGAAACTATATTTATTGGTTTCACAGAGTACAGAATGGACCAAGAAGCCAAAAGTGATGAAATTCAAAAAATGGGCAAGAAACTATATGAGTTGATTTCTATATTTTTCCACTCTGAAATAATCCATGCAGTTCGAAGGCTTCTTGCAGCTGACATTAAGAAACTATATGTTGGACCACAAGAAGGTACAACATGTCATATTATATAGGCCCTCCAAGCTTAAATTCAGCTCTGCTACTGGATTATATTTAGAAATATAAATTTGTTCAAATTATTTCTCATTATTTCGTAGGAAATGTTGCAGTTTCTGTTGGCTTATTGGAAGAAGCTCAAAATGCATCTGAACATCCAGTTAAAGGAGGATTGCAAATAAAGCAATATTTAACTTATAACTGGTATGCATTTCTTACTTATATAAAAAAATTTCTCTTAAAAATTTAATTTTAATCACCTGTTAGTTATTGTAACATTAAGTTTATATATATATACAGTTGTCTCTGCTTAATGTACTTACTTACTTATCCTCTACGTGCCTTTGGGCACTTAAGGCCTCTAGCATATCCCTCCAATGCTTCCTGTCTCTAGCAATAGATCTTGCTTCCTCCCAGCCAGATATTCCACATTCTTTTAATTCGCCCAAAAACATGCGCTGGATGGTAAGTCTGGGTCTTCCTCTTGTTCTTTTACCATCAGGGGCCCATGTAAGCGCAACAGATGTAATTTTTTCTTTGGGCATTCTAAGGATATGTCCGAGCCAGCTCCATCTTCGTTTTTTAATTTCATCTTCGATTGTTTTTATTTTAGCTTTCTTTAATAGATTTTGATTTGATACTTTGTAAGGCCAGAAAATTTTAAAAATAAATCTTAAACATTTGTTTTGAAAGGTTTCTAATTTTTGTATTTCGATCTTAGTCTGTTTCCAGGTTTCTGCGCCATATAATAGTACTGCTCTAACAATAGCTTTGTAAACAACTATTTTTGTCTTTATTTCAATATTTGACTCTCTCCAAAATTTATGTAATCCCTTAAAACATGTTCTTGCTTTGATTATTCTATGTCTAATATCTTCAATACTTCCACCTTTTTTATCTACAATAGAACCTAAATAGCTAAATGACTCTATGTCATCTATTTCGTGATTTTCGATTTTAATTTTGTCATTTTTCTTTTGATTTATTCTCATTACTTTAGTTTTCTTCTTGTTTATGAATAAACCTACACTATTTGAATATTTGTGGAATTTGTCTGTTTTAAGCTGAAGGTCTGTACATTTGGATGAAATAAGTACAATGTCATCAGCAAAATCAAGGTCTTCTAAAGTTTTTGTGAAATTCCACCTTATTCCTCTTTTTTCATCTTTCAAGCTGTTTCCTCTGCTTAATGTGACCGTAGTTAATGTTATAGATAGCTAATTGTTATCAAAATCATTTTGTCCGGATTTTTTCTATTCATTTGTATCTAAAATTATAGCTTTCTATGATCATAACATTATTTATTGCTAAAGTTTTTATTTATTTTTTCGAAAGCCATCTAGTCAAAGAAATATTTGCTGTGTTTTCCAAAAAGAACCTGTTCTTTTCTTTCTCTGCTCTAGTGTTTAAATTTTAGAGTATTCTTCCTCTTTCATCTTAGGAGTTCTTTTAACTGTAGGTGGACAGAGACGTGATTGGTTGTTAATGCCATGTGATCATTTTCTTCATGTCTCAGCTGTGTTAGCTTTTATCTGAACTAAGAACTAGTGAGTCAATATTTTAAGTCCTGCTCAATTATATGGAGTTTGTTGATCTGAATAGTTGGAAATGAAATGATTAAACATCTAAAAAAAAATCAGCATTTTAAATCCTTATGTACAGTGCACAAAAAATGAGCCACCTTGAATATCTTTTTAACTAATCATTTTCTTAAACTCGATCTTAATGGTTCTACGGACGTGACCTCAAATATACTAATTAATTAGGGCAGATAATATTTTAAGGTATGAAATCAGGCACAAAAACGTACTTTCTCAGAATAAACATAGTTGTTTTTATTGATGGATTCAGGTATCTGAGCCCTAAAATATAGGGGGTTTGGGAAATATGATCCCAATAGTTTAGTATGGAGAGCAGTCCAAAATATGAAACCCATATTGTTAATTTTACTTTATCCTTATTTTACAATATCTCCAAAACTAATGAAGTGAATAACCATAATTTTGCACATAGTTATAGAATTCGTTCATCCAAAGATAACAAACTTTTGCATAATTTTAAAGTATGTAATTTTATATGACAAAACAAAATACAAAATTTGAACATAGTCGATTGAATAGTTTCTGAGAAATTGAGATACAAAGAAGTGGTGTGTTTAAAATTTGAGTCCTAGTTCATGAAGATTCAATCATTAGATTTAAACTTATTTAGGACAGTTCCTTTACTTATTATTATTATTTTATTTTTTTTTACGCCACACTATACAATAAATATAGCGCTGACTATATGTGGCTTAATTAGTGTATGTGTGGCTTTTATTGGTAATTTGATCTAATTTCGTGATTCGCTTATTGTTATTAGTTGGCTAATGTTGTCAAAATGATTGTATCCCTAAGAAATCACATTAAGCAGTGAGTACTGTTTTATATACATGTGACTATTTTTAAAAATATATTATTAAATTGAAGCATAAAATTTATAGTGACCAACTTCATGTTGAATGTTTAAAATCATTTTAATAATAAATTTATGCTATCCTTTTATGGTTAATAATTTGAAATATTTTTTAAACTAAAATAATTTTTAAATATTTTCTCTCAAAATTTTAATTTTTAAATGAATTAGTCTTTATTTTTTTCCTAGATTGTTCATTGATAATGCGTGAGATAATACTGATGTTATTAGTTTTTTCTTTTATCTATACTGTATACTGAATTTCTTTCAAAAGTCATGACTTTTTTAAGTAAATTTTTTCAAGTAAAAATAATTGAATTAGTTATAAATTGGAGCGGTTAGTGTTAAAAGAGGATATGTGGCATTTTTACGAAAATAAGTTCTTAGTTGGTTTTGGAATATCAATTACCGATTGTTTAATACCGAGTAATTTTTTAGACTGTTTAAAGAAAAATCCAACAATTTGGAAGCAATTAAAACAATCTTTCCTCACATTTTTTTTGGGGGGGGGTGAGGGTTTCTCAAAAGTGTAGATTTGTAACATACCCCTTTTTAACATTGACCACTTCAATTATAAATCTGAAATTATTTTCATTATGTTGAATCATTAATTTAGTGTGAAATTGCTAAAGATAAATTAACTATATTTTGCTCTGCACTAAAAATCTAGTATATTTACTTTAAATACAAGTTCAATACCTTATTTAGCCTAATTTAATTTATATTAGCTTGATAGATTCAGATGGCCATTTACAGTATATTCAAAAGCATTGGACTTGTTCTTTATGTGGGAAAGAAATGGTTGCAACTGTTTTGGATCAAATTCGTCACAAAGAAATATGCAAAGAACAAAAAAGTAAGTTAAAAATTACCTAATAGGGTCACATTCAGTGTTTTTTTTCCTTCTATTTTTTTAATAATTGAAGATGTTTTTTAATAATTGAAGATTAGCTTTTAAATGCTAATTTTATACAGATTTGAAGAAATTATTTGTAACACTTTTAAAAAACATTTCATTCATAAAAATATGCATGCACATGAATTGATTATTTTACATAACAATTTTATTATTAATCAAATAAATTTGATCATCATATCCTATGCAACTTCTTAAGACTGTATTCTACAAAATCATGTCTTCAACTGAAGTAGTAATATCATTTATAACAATAAAATAAGGAGTTTGCATGACTCTCTGTGTGTCTCTTGTATCCTCAGAACTGTTTATGTTATGATCTTGCAATTTTCATAGCAGGTGCAGGGGTAATTGTAGCACCTGATCCTTAAAGTTGCGCAAAAATTTTAATTAGTTCATAAAGAAGAGATGTCCAAAATATTGTCTATCTTGATGACTTTACACACGTGCAAAATACATTTTCAGAAGTTCTATAAAATAAAGTTGAACTACACTCAGTATCATTTAGCACCTAAAATGATGCTATCGCTCACTGCTTATTTAAGATAGTCTAAATGTAATGTTTTCCCATTTATTTTGTAATTTAGCATGTAACTATTTGGTGCATAGAAATATCTCCATAGTAACAATTTAGTACATGGAAACATGCTGTGATAACATATCTCTTACCAAAACAAACTCATGGTTTCAGATAAATTTGAAACTATCAATTTAGTGTGTCACCCTGTTTTGCTGTCATTTATGATTTCCTCTTACAATCATCAAAGATAAAGTGATGTTAAAGAATGTGCAATTATTCTAAGTGAAAATCGGTTGCAGAGCAGAAAGTTGGAAAGCATCACTGTTATTATCTATTAAATATTTCAAAAATGGAATCATCTACATATTAATTTATTATACCTTATATTAAACAGGAGAGAAAAATTCCTTTTCAAACCTTCCTACCAAACACACTAATTGAAATGTTTGAATGATTTTCGGGATGAGGGGCTGAAATTAATATCTGTTGGAATTTTGATATTCTTGCACAAATCCTTTTACAGTTATGAAATAGAAAAACATGCACAGATAATCATACAATGTCTTTTATAATTTTAAATTGTAACATAATCTTAGGAAATCATAGTTTAAGTTTATAATATTTTATTAGCATGACTGTAAAAATCTGCATCTTTTTAAATAGTAAATGGGAAAAAAAGTGTTATTGTATTTGATTCATTTAGTATAACTGTAATTATTAATTTTAAGTTTTATATCTTTATTCATATTAATTGAGTTTTAGTTTTTTTTTAAAAAGGAAAATGTATTACTACTCAATAATTATAATTTTGTTGTTTTTAAAGATTAGGTATTAATAAAGGTATTAATTTACGTTGAGATTTTTTTACAGACATTTTTGCTGAAATTTTCTTTGAATTATGTCCCTTTTCATTCTTCAATTTGAAGTCATTAACAATGCTGCTTAGATGTTAAAATGATGTAAAATTTTTTATTCCTTATACTATACTAATTTTAATGCAATTTTTTAATTAAAATGTAAAAAAATAAATTTTAAATATGAATTTTGTTTGCATGAAATTTTTTTGGCTAAAAGAGTTTTATAATATGCTTAAAAAAATAAGGAGATTAATGAAATGTGCAGAAAATTAAATTTAAGAGCCTTAAACTTCTGAAAATTATTCCGATTGCTGTTAGAGATCATGTTGAGGGTCAAAATTTCAAACTCATCAATAAAAGGGTATGTTTATTCTGAGAGAGCACGTTTTTGTTCCAAATTCATAACTTAAAATACTTTTTTGAACTAATGAATAAGCATACAAAGTGCAAAATCAATTGTTTGTACTGAAATTCCAACCATTTGTTAAAAAGTTTTTCAAAGTGTATTATTTATTTATTTTTTGCAAATAGTTTTTATGAATCATTGTTAAACTGTAATGTATTGAAATTAGCATCTATTAACTGAGGGCAACTACGCAATAATTTTTTCTCTTATGCTATTGTCTTGATTGGCAGGTGGTTGACTTGATGAGCATTCCTGATATACATAATTTGAAAGACTATGTCATTCAGCTAAATTTTTTTCTAGCTTTAATTTTGCCAAAAAAATTAGATGAATAAATTGAAATGTTAGGTACGTATGGCTGTGTGAATGCTATCAACAAAACCACAATGAATTGCTGAAACAGAAAGGATAATTGAAAATTAATCTCTGCATGCATAGTTTCCATAAAAATTAATTGCATTGATAATTTGTTAAGATTTAAAAGAAAAAAAATTGAAGAAAGAAAAACCTTTGGCCGTTTTACTTTGATAATTTTCTTTTAGTATTGAAAGAGACATACAGATGTTTAGTATTGAAGAAATAACTTTTCATTTTCTGTTTTTATATTATTCTCTGAATCTTATGCGGAATTTATCTTTTCATTTTAAGAGATATTTCTGATTAAAAATATCCAAAATGTTTTATTAAACCCTTATTTATTAAATATTTTTAAATTTATTATCTAATTATTTGTTAACTTTTTATTATAGTGGAGGATAAAAAACCTGATACTACTGACAATGAAAATCCATTTAAGAAGCCATATTTTTGTCCTACTTGTCAAGAAGAACTATTTTTAACGATTCCTGAAATTCTTAGACACAAAAGAAGTCACACATAATTCTTTCCAAACAAATTATGTATCAACAATGACTGGTTTGTCAATCACAAGTAATGGGGAAATATTTAAGAATGTTACATATTAATTATTCAAAGCTGTGATATTTTTGTTTTCATTTGTATTTTATCATTAAATTGTTATAAATAATCATAATCATTTGTATGATTGTTATGAATTTATTAATATTTTTTCAACATTCACGATTCTAAATTAAGTTCTGTATGGTATATATATAATTTATTTTTTAAACTCTCATTTTGATCTTATGCTAGCTCCTGATTAGACACTAGAGTAGCATTCTGGGTTGACTTGAAATCAACAGTAAGGGTATTGTGTTCATCTTGTAATGTTATAGTAAAATGCAACTTTTATTATTAAATAGAAATAATCTACATTATAAGATTATTTATTGAGTGTAATACTGGATAAAATGGTTGTATTAATTTAAATATCAATATATTGAAAGGTTTTTACTTATTTGTAAGGAATACCAATTTTCAGGACCAGTCCACTTTTCACTAAAAAGGGTAATGGATGCCAAATTTATAATTTAGATAATATACCTAATTTGTTACTTTTAGAAGTTTTAGAGTTTTCTCTTTTTAATTATCGACACATTTAGTTTTTATCAAAATATAAATTTGTAGCTAATTCAGAATTGTGCTAAACAAGACTTAACAATTTTTATATGAAATAAGTTTGCTGCCACTTTTAACTTTTTCCAGTGCCTGGGCAAGATTATTAACTTTTGATATTTAGCTATTCATTTATTGATTGAAAAATAAATTCTCTCATTAAAAAGTATGTAATGTTTTCTATTGTATGCTTAGTTAATACATAAACTAAAACTCTGGTGTAAAAATGTAATAAACTAAAAATACTTTACTTTTATTATAATTTTTAATTAACACATGGTGTTTTCACCTTATTTTCTGTAAGAATAGTGAGGTAAGTAACACAAATTGTGTACAAACAATGTTTTTTTCTTTTTATTTAAAAATAACACATTTACATACAATTTCAAAGAATTAATATCTTTGCCATATATTTAAATAGTAATTTTTTGCACAAAAAGATTGTAAAAAGCACATTATTTTATGTGCATTTTTTCTTCAAAATTCGACAGACACTTTTTTAATACATTGTGGCCCAAAGGTAAAACTTATCCAATTACCACCAGAGCATTTCACCATGCATTTCAGAATTAGAATTCTGAAATGGAGTGAAAGAACAAAAATTAAGACAGACCAGTTCAATAAAGTAACCATGAGGAATTGGTTTCTTTTTCATGAAAATTAATTAATGTACAACTATTTTGGGCATTGCATTAACTAAAATGGAATAAAATTTTTATATATATTACATTTATAGTAAATTTAATAATTTGTATACTAAATTTATATATAATATGGACATAAATTTAACCAGCATTTAGCTTCTAGAAAAGATGATAGAAATAGGAAAGTTTTCTGGAATAATATGCTTGTAATAGTCCATTTATTTTATGTAATGCCATCACTTAGATTATAACATAAATTTTGGGGCAAATCATTATTTTAATTTAAAATTTCATGAAAAATCAACAGAAGAAAGAACTCAGGTTTGAACAGATTTAGAAATATCTTATTCAAATTGTGCATAGAAAGCTATGTTATTTGATTTTTATAAAAGACTTGGAGCAGTGTAGAGAAAAGACACACATTTTTTAAAGTTTGCATCAAACTGTTTCTTAATATTATTTTCTGGTAAGTATAATGTAAGTTTAGAGAATTTCCTCTGTAAACAGAAACACTACAGCTATACATGTAACAGCTTACAGGAACCTGTACACTTACATGAATTTGTCTCCTGTACACTTTAAGTGTGGCTTATCATTTTATTGTTCCACGCCCTTCATAATAAGTTTTAACGGTCTTTAAATGTGATTTATGATGTTTCCCTTTAAAACATGTAATATTTCCAATAATCCTTTTCTGCTCTATTTTGCATCTGTTCAACACATCTGTATCTGTTACAGCCTTCTCCTTGGTTTGATATTGCTGTTGCTAGTAAAAGTTGCTTTTTAAATTCTTTGAAAAGTTGAATGTTTTGTTAGGTGTAAAAAAGTAGAAGATTCCTTTTTTAAGCATTCAGCTTCCAGATATTTTTGTCCTAAATTTTCACCTCAATACACTTTGTTCCTATTGAATAACATGAGAAAAAAACCTTGATTGACTGGAAAATAGCCTTATACAAGTGAAGCAAAATCTCAAGTAAGAGGCTCAAAAATTTAGCTATCACATATTATTTTATCTACTATTCAAATTAAAAAAAGAAGTGTGACTTAAACATTATTTCAGTTACCCATAATTTGTGCCATTTTCATTGCATGTAAAATTGATTTTTGGTGTATGAGTTTACATCCTTGATGATTTTACCATCAAACTGGTTTGTCTTAATTTTTTTAAACAATTTTAAAAACAATAATGCAGTTTATCGGACAGTGCCTTTACTAATGTCTGAGTCCAATATGTTAACAGTTTATACGTGGCACTATTTATGCTTTGCTATATCACAGCACAAAAATCTTTCACGTGACAGCCATTCAGTCGTGTTTCATTTTCAATAAATATCACAGATGTCCATTATGATGTCTAATTCAATACTTCTCATCATCCTAATATTTAGTCAGCTGATGATTTCTATCCAATTATTTTTCTTTATAATTCAACATGTTTTAAACCAAATTTGTACTTAAATTTTTTTTTGCAATAAATTATATTTTAGTTTCAGTCTAAAAGTGCGTGGTAGATATATAATGCTTAATATATATCAGATGAAAATGAAATGCTGCAATTTGATGTAATTTATAAATATATGATGGCCTTAGATGAGGTATTTTGACCTTCTTGCTTGCTGCCTATCTTTGAAAGTGATAATATAGGCTTTTATGGATGAATGGCTGTTGGACGATACTGAACTGAATTCATTCAGTGTTTAGGCTTGTTATTGAGATCAAGTTTCACAGGTGGTGTTCTATGCCTGGTAATCTACTTTGTCTTCTAAGTCTGAAATAATAAAAAGAAAGTTCTTGTAATATTTACGCAATAATATTTTGATGTCATGAGAACTGTAGTAAAAATTTGATTTAAATAGAATGGCTATTGCAAAAAATACAAAAAAAGATCAATTTTTAAATTTTTTTTCTTTATAAACAAATTCAAAAGCGCAATAACAGAACAGGTAATTTTAACCTTTAAATTAGGGAAACCATGTGTGGCGTAACTACCACTACGAAAATCAAACATCAATTCACTGGTTATATAAGACATGCTAACTTGATTCAATCACGAGGTACCTTTTGATAGATGAAGGTTGGCAAGGTCGATAACTCCGCCTCCACATTGGTGACCTCCGGACGTGATTTGAACACGCAGTAGCACCAAGCATTTCGAAGCAGTAGCACTTCGCAAAAATCTTGACAGTAACGCCTACTTCATTGGATGGTCCACATTGAACAGTTGATTTGCTACTTGTGACTGCAACATTATCCAATCCTCCTCATGCTGTTGCTACTCAGTCTCGTCGCGATTAAGCACAACGGCTGCCTGCATACACTCGACTGCTAATGGCAACACAGGAGCGACAACGACTGTGAAGTTAATACACCTCTCACATTCAGCACTTAAAAAAAAAAAAAAAAACAGGTGATCTTAATTGCAGCTCTCCCGGTCTTTCACAAGTACAGCAACTAGTGAGATCCGTTCATCTAATTCTATCCCTGATAAAATTCTGGTGGGGGAGTATTGTGGCGTAACTACCACTACGAAAATTAAGCATCAATTCACTGGTATATAAGACATGCTAACTTGATTTAATCACGAGGAACCTTTTGATAGATGAAGGTTGGCATGGTTGATAACTTCGCCCCCACACATGCATGAAACAAAAATATTTATAGGAAAACAATAACTTTATGACTTATATATTTTATGCTGATGACAACCAAACCAATAGAAATATTACTAAATCCATGTGATTTACCTGCCAATAAAAATGTATTGACAACAATCAAAAGCTGCAGCACCATCATTAGATTTTTTATATATTGTAAGAAACGCTAATGTTACATTGTTAAAAATAATACATTGTTAAAAAATTAATGAAGTTTATTTTTTGCATTGGCAAGGAGGAACTGAAATATGAAATGAGTGCGCTGTTATAAACATGAATGCTTAAACATACATGTTTACAAATATCTGAATAAAAATTATTTCTTACTTGGGTAACGAAAAGCTAGAAAATTGAGCTATAAGATGGGCAGAAATAAAAGGCTAAAGGCAAGTAATTCATGTGAACAAACTTTTATATTTTGTTTTGTATTATGTTTTAGCATAAATGATGCTTAATTATTAACGGAGCGAGTTATGTTTTATCAATCAAGATCGGCCAGCTATGCATTTTTTATATTTTCCTTTTACCTTTGTTGTTATTTATCGTACAAGTTTATGTAAGACTAAAAAAACTGGCAATTTGCCAAACACTGATATTTATAATTTATTAAACCTAAAATCGTCATGTATATGAATTGAATGAAATGCTTATAAATCAAATGTTCCACAGGTTTTTTATACTGCATAATCTTTTAATTTCATTTTAAAATTTCAGCATGCATACAAAACTAGACTAAACGAGATAAGTATTCCCTGAGCGAGCAAAGCAATCTCAAAATGCAAAAACAGTTCCAGGGTTGTTGAGAGCAGGGACTGAGCCTTCTAGTTTTAAGTATAATTCAGAACAGTTAAAAATGATTTAAAATATTTTCATTTATCAATTAATTTAATTAAGAAACCAACCTTTTTAGAAATTAATAATAATCATTTTCCTTAAAACGAAATTAAGTGTTTAGTTAACTGTTTAAGGTTTCCTTTTATGAATGTGTAAATAAATTAAATTTACATATTTATTTATAACCGGCGCTGAACAGCCGGCATAACTCTGAATTTTATTGATGGAACAAACCCGCATTTATGTTACACGGAGATATAAACCCCAAATCTTCCATGGCTAGCCGATGGCAATGAAATTCTAACCCATGATCCATCGACCATTGAGGATATTTTATGTTGGCCCTGTGGTCGGTGCAAGCTGGGAACATAATTTGTATCAATGAGTAACAGCTGGGATTCGAACCTGGGACGCCTGTTTGAGAGGCAAACACTTTATAACCTGAGCCACTGCAGCTCTAGATTTACTTATAAATATTATTACATTTAAAATAACTTACTAGGTTTAGAAAACATTTCAACTAAATTTTCTTTCTCAGAGACATCTCTGATGGGTCTCCTATTTGGCCTTCTGATACGAGCTCTTCTTTGTGGTGGCGGTAACGTCGTCGCTGGTATCCTTGTTTCAATGTTTTCATCCTGATTATGATTATCTATTCGTTCTTCAGCTTTGACATAAGTCTCTGTGACATGACTGTAGTCGGGAATTATATTTTCTAATTCAGCTAGACATCGCCCATTTTTACAAACCTAGATAGAGATTAGATATTTTTCTAATTTAATTTAAGTAGTGAAATTTTCATTTCATACATTCCAGTTTCTAATGGCAATAAAATATAATTTATATGTTTAACATAATAAAGTATTTTTAGCTATTTAGTTTGAGGATTCTAAAAATTTTTCTATTTTCTTATGTAATGTTGTTTTATTTTATTTACCACTATGAATATGAAGAGGTTAAATACACTATATCTAGATTTTAAAAGAATTTCAGAAATTACAGATTTCCACAGCAACAATTTAATTTGATTTCATAATATGCACTTATTATAGATGGTTTAGGTTTCTTGATTTGGGAATGCAATAACTTGAAACATAGTTTAATTGAAGTAAAAAATCAATTTCTGCAAATGATCTTATGCCTTATGTGAACTATTTTATGCTATTATTATATATAAACTCATGTTAAAAGTTTGCTAAATGTATAGTGAGAAAATATCATCATCATTGGCGCGACAGCCTAGAGTGAGCCCTGGCCTTCTCAAGGATTCCCTTCTATTTTGACCTGTTCTCAGTAACGGTTCTCCAATTTTCACCCTTTTAATTTTGATGTATGTGGGCATGTTATGTTCTTTATAAATGTGGTAAATTTCATTGCTAAATCTCTTTCTCCATAGTCTTTTAAAGTTAGAAAATATAGTTATAAAACTGTTTAGGGATTTATTTTCGGACACTTTTTTTTTCGAAAGTCGCTAAACCTCCAGACCTCTGCAAAATTTTATATCTAGAACTAGCATGCATTATTTGATGCATTAAATGTGTGTATTTAATATCTTGTACATTTCATTTTTGTTTTTTACATTTTAAATTATTTATGAGTAATATCATTACCTGGCCGTCACCACAGACAGATCCTTCAGCAGCTGGTCGGTACGATACACAATAACCAGAGGCTGTGTCAAAGCAAAAGAGTTGTGCACAAACTCTTGCATCTTTCTATACAAATCAACAAAAAATATCTTGTTTGAATTTAAAAAAACTTCCATAACATAATTTTATTGTCATAAAATATTATAAAGGTTTAATATGAAATTATTAAGGAAATAAATCCTATAAACAATCCAGTTACACTGGTTGCATTTTGTTGCCTTTGTTCAGTAGTTTTTTTTTTTAAATTTTATTTATTTATTTTGTCGTACGTTTGCTTAAGTATATTTCATTCATTCTAAATTTTTTAAGCTGACACAAGACTTTTTATTTAAACTTATGCCTGTTTTTTATATTTGCAAGTAAAACTCATTGTTGATTTTAAAAAAGTAAACTTGTATATAAAAAATTCAGTAAATACTGTCGAAGTACCTAGAGGTATTTCTGAAATATAAAAGTAATAAATTCGAGATGATAATTTGTTTAACTGTAAAAAATTGTTAAAATACTTTCTTGAAAGAAAAAAAAAGTGAGCTTAACGAACTTATTATTTCCCAAAATTCTACATGATAAAAATTTTTATTAAAAATAAAGCAGCTTTATATTAAATTAATTATTTATTATTGGAACTCATACTTGAATTACTCACTTAAATGCTTCAATGTTTTCGCGGTACAAATTAATACTTACGATCTTCTAACTTAGTTTATTCCAGTACATAAGAGGAGTTGACCATGAAAAGGAACAAAGTTTTTCAGGAGAAAAAAGAAAAACGTTTGTTGAAATACTTATGAGTATCTGACGGCTCCACCTTAAAAAAATCTTCGGTTGCGAAATTATAAATTGAAGATCTGTTTTAATGCGTAAACGAATTTTTTGTTCGCTTAACTTCTTTTTTTAAGTCAACTCCTCTATTATAATATTACTTACAAAACATGCAGTTGTTCCTCTGTCTCGTTTGCACTGATCATCTAATGAAAGCATCGTTCCTGGCAGAACTCGAACTAAAAGATCATTTTCGTGGGGGAAATTGAATAAACATGAGGCTGTTTCACCACTAAAACAAGCAAACAAAAAAAAGTAGTATTAATAATTATGAACAAGTGTTGGATCATTTTAAAATTTTGATAAAACAATTTCTTTTTTAATTTTAACAGGTCATATATAGGTAACTTTATGTTTTTATATATTACCTATATGAACAGTTATACTTTTTTTTTTAAACTTTAGGTTAAAAATGAAAACTAGTATTGAGAAATGCAATAAAGAGTCTCAAAATATTTAGATTGATAGTTTTTTTTCAATATAAATAAACTAATAAATATGCGGAAAACGTTCTGAAAAAGATGGGTTGCAAATTAATATTACCTTCTTATCTTATTATGTTTATCTTTCAGAAATCTAGTCCTGAATTTTGAAGGAAAAAAAAATATATATAGGGGAGAGTGGGGTCAATTGTAACAGGGTACGATTGTAACAGAGCAAAAATTTCGAGTGTCGGGTTATAGATTTGGTTCCTAGGTGGCGCACAAGGTGTATNAAAAAGTAGTATTAATAATTATGAACAAGTGTTGGATCATTTTAAAATTTTGATAAAACAATTTCTTTTTTAATTTTAACAGGTCATATATAGGTAACTTTATGTTTTTATATATTACCTATATGAACAGTTATACTTTTTTTTTTAAACTTTAGGTTAAAAATGAAAATTAGTATTGAGAAATGCAATAAAGAGTCTCAAAATATTTAGATTGATAGTTTTTTTTCAATATAAATAAACTAATAAATATGCGAAAAACGTTCTAAAAAGATGGGTTGCAAATTAATATTACCTTCTTATCTTATTATGTTTATCTTTCAGAAATCTAGTCCTGAATTTTGAAGGGGAAAAAATATATATATAGAAAAGTATCAGTTGTTTCCATAGTTCCCATCATGGCCTACTAATATTTGAGTTATAATAACTCAATATATGTACACCTAATCACCCAGAACCATATTTTTCTTTCTTTTTTTCAAGAGTGTTTCAAAAAACATTGGTTTGGTACATGGTAAGGAGTGAAGGATGCGACCCAGGCCCAAAGGGCCCATACGCCAAAATTTAGATGTCCCGCCATCACGACAGCAACCCCGAACAGCACGCAAGACCAAGCAATCTCGGACCCGTTGGCACAAGGCCCCGAGTCACGGGTGATCGAGAACTTCACATACACGCCGGCAGGCAGAGGAGACCATTGTAAAGGGAAAATAGTTTCCGTTTTGCTCGAACATTCTTCTCAGCTTCCAGCTGCTGTCTTAATACTCAAATCAAATACTTAATATAGTAAACTCCGAGTTACACTATATTTCCAATCACTATATATTTTCAATTTCATAAAGTTAATAATCGAAAATAAAATCTAATGCGTGAAAATAGTCTCTTTAATTGAAACAATCAAATGCCAGATGTGAAGCCAGTTTAACCAACCCTAGACATCTAATGCTAATATTTTATTAATTTGTTTAAAGATTTAAGATTGATCTAAAGATTTAAGATAAAGATTGGTTAAAAATTAAAATAAACCTAATAACGTTTATGTTGTTGTTTCATGTGGTTGAAGAAAGAAAGTTAAAAAATAGATATTGTGGCATTGAATAATGATCAGTTGTGCTTTTACCTTGAAATAAAAAGTTAGCTGTTACATTTATTCAGAACTGGAAAAATAGAAATATTTGCATTCGCTCTGTATGAAATAAAATGAAAAAAACCAAACTAATTGACAGATTTATTTAGAAAAGGATTAGGAATAGTTAAAAAAGATTAGAATTAAAAAAAGAGAGAAATTAAAATGCTACGAAATATGTTATTCTAAAAGAAACGTGTCGATTCCCATAAATAAAGGTCAATGTCCTAAGATTTTGGAAGAAAACTCAATTGTATTCTGGAAAATTAACTTTTTAGTTTGATGTACTGATTATAATTAATTAGAAATCCTCTAATTAAATTTTTATTCGTTCAATTTTTTTTAAGAAATATGAATTCTAGAGCTCGTGATATTCATAACTTGCCTGTTTGGTCCGAAGTTTCTCCTTATTTATATGGTTTCTTTTTTTGATAGCCGAGAGTAAACGAAAAGTCACCAAAAAACATTCACCAATTTTTTTTTTTTAAATTTTATTTATTTTTTAAACACATAAAAATTTATTAAAATAAAAAATTAAATATAAAAAAAATAGTTGAATTTCTTAACCGAAAAGTAACCTCTTTTTTGTATCTGGTGTTAGAGGAAAAGGTTTTTCAAAAACTTGTTGAGATGCTCATTATACACATATAATATAAAAATAAGAAATTATGAGTAAGAAGCATGCAAAATATTTTTTTCTTCCTGATTGTTTTTACTTTTACCAAGCATTTGAAAACAAAAACATAGAAAAAAGTTGTATACTTCAGTGTAAAAAGTGTTACTTCAAAAAATGTTTGAATTGCTCTACGCTGCATGAAGACCACTTGAAACCTCGTTCTGTGTGTCTCAAATCACTCATGATGAAACCATCTTCCCAAGGACAATGAGTAGCTCCTGGTCCTCCGAGGTAACTTGGAGGGGGAGAGCCGTCGTGAACACAACCCAATCTGAAATAACAAAATTAATTCCTTCGTTCATTTCGTTTTGCGATTGTTAACTTAATTACTATCTCAGTGCATAGTTCTTATCACCTTTGTTTATGGCCTAATTTTATGAATCATTTTGAACATAATTAACGATATTAATAGTATTTTTAAACACTGGAACAAAAATTATATTCTTTACAATTCTAGAGCCTGCTTGAAAAAAATGAGAGAAGATTTCCTTTTTTTTCTATGTTATGCCTAATATATCCTTAATTAATCCGAAATGTTACACTGAGGAACAATTTTTTTTCTTCCTTTTCTAATGCATGAGATTTTTTTAAAACGGATCTTGGATATTTTCGCGTCGCTGCTCTTAAATCTGCTATCGTTTTTTCCCTCCAAGCTACAGTTTTTTAAAAAAAGACATTTTTGGTCTATATTTCGACGAAATGTACAAGTTTAAAAAAATTTGTATCTGCAAGCGGATCGTGCAAATGCTTGGGACAAACTCCCCATAGGGTATATCTCAGGAACCCATGCTCGGGCGATTATCTATTATGAACTGTTTCTTCGTGTGCTTCTGAAAAGATCATAATAGAGAAGCGCCCCTAGCCGCGTACAATGACATTTCAGATCATGAGTTTCAACGCTATTTTAATCGTGATGTGCCCAAGCTCCCTCAGAAGTTTGTCTCATCATTTACGCGATCCCTTATTATCTATAATGTTTTTAAACCTGCACATTTCGTCAAAGATAGGCTAAAAATGCCATTTAAAAATAAAAAAAACTGTAGATTTAGGAGGAAAACAAATTTCAAATTCAAAACCCCCACATCCAAATGAAGCAACATCAACAATTTGTATAAATGAAGCATAAAAGTTTTCCCCCAGTGTTATAATTAAATTAAAATCAATTTTTACATCTCTGGAACTTGTTGATAAAGGAATGTCCTGTTTTATTGTACCTGTTTTATTTAAACTTAGTATCAACAGAAAAAAAAATTTAATCTTAAGGATTCAAAATCAATCTATAGGACCTAGAAGCAAGATATAATTTTTTTTCTTCATGGAATTGGTTTTCAGGATAGAGTTCAAAGACTAACTTTGTTCTTTAAGAAAAAAATGACCGTTTATCAACTTTTAATTTAATTTGTTATTTGTTTAATTTGTTAATATTTTTAAAGCATAGGATAAACTTATCATGTTCAACCCAAAAAAGGCCTGGTTATTTGATTTAAGTATAAACAAAGGAGACTTTCAAATTGTGCAATATACAATGTTAATGTGTTATTTTCAAATAGTGCAATGAATTAAGATTATTATTCTGTCGGGTAACTCTAAAAACAATGTTAATTTTCCTCCCTGAATGTTTTTAGAATTCGGTTCCAGATTGAATCAAAGGAATTAAATTTTTGGAAACTAAGAGCTGAAAAACTAATATTGAACTTTTGTGGTTTCATAAATTTTAATATACATGCATATCTAAAGCATTGTCTTAGAAAGCAAGGAAAACTCGCTATAAGTTCATAACAAACTTAAAAATGTACAAAAACGAGCATGAAAAACTTTTAAAAAAATGTGTTACTTACAAATGGCCTATTTCATGGGCTGCAACAATTATTCCGCTGAATCCACCACTATCTTCAATAATTGCAACACTATTGACTTTTTCTAATCTTTTGTTTACAACGCATGCACCTCCAACGTACGCAAATCCTGCAAAATAAAATCAGATGTGGAAGTAAAATTTCTTAGATTAGTAGTTGTAGCTCAAATCTATTCATCTACTTGTAACAGTTAGCCTTTACATGCAAAAAAGAGCAATATTTTGCGCGAGTTTAGCAACTAGCTAAGTAAAATGCATTTTCTTCATTCCGATCTAGTTTGCCATGGCTATTTGTTAGTCTTGAGGATGTTGTTTATAATTAGGATGTTGTAAGGAATGTATTTTACTGTGTAGCTATGGAGACCAATTAAAAATATTTCTGTAAATGATACCTGTGTGCCAAACACATGATAATTTTATAATTTAATATCAATATGCATTATCATGGAATATTTGTTCCGGTTATTTCACTAACTTGTAAGAAAGAAAACTATTAAAATCTATAAAACTGGAAAGCAGAATTACTTTTGTATAGTAATAACCTATTTATTCTCTGTAAATTTCTTTTTCTTCAATTTTATTAAAATAAATTTTTAAAAAACACAATTTTCTATGATTGGGTCGATTGCCTAGTATCTTGTTAATCCAGTTGGTTTGCACTCTTAGATGCCAGTAAGAGTAGGTTTGAGTCTTATTTCCCAGTATGATATTTTTCTGTCTTTATCCTTTTTCTTCCTTCCATAGACGACTTTAGTCTACTGTCACAATAGTAGTCACTACTTTACAAACGCGGAAGTATAAATTTGTCTACCTTTATGTTCACAAATGATTTCAAAATGTATTACGTGTAATTTTACCTTCGTGTACGCAGTAACTCTAGTATATGGAGACAGTCTGTAATTTCAGGTCATATGCATCTACTACTACGAACACCATTTCACGACGGAACAAATAGCTTATCATCCATTTTTGAGACCAAAAAGTCATTGGAAAGCAGAATTCCCGCCACAAGAAATGAATATGTATATACAACATTACAATCATAAATTATCGTTTAGGCTTGCTTTAAAATGAACTGATAAGTACAGATAATTTTTAATAGCAGCCTGCTTACTGCTGAGGTCAACCCCCACGAATTTAGTATGGTAGTGAAACGGCAATATCCACGCCATAGATGGAAACCTGTTAAATTTAACATTATGTTTAGCTTAAACAGAGGAAAGATATATATATAGAAAACATGTTAATGTAATGCGGATGTTCCTGATGAAAATCTTACCTGCTGTACCACGATTGCATCGTCCATTGGGGAATCTTCTTCGGCACATGTCGAGTTTCGTAATGACCACTGCTAGATCATACGTTGGCAACCGATGTTCTCTATATAAGTATTTCCCCATGTCTGTGAGAGCACCAGCTGCATCTACAGCGTCTGCGTTGGGTGCCCTTAATCTGTTTCTTTCTAAGTATGGCGTGGCATCCCGATCCTTCAAACAAAAAAGAAATAAGTAATTAAGCAAAATATATTGGCGTTAAAAAATGTAAATGGTTTAAACGGGAATAAAGATTTCAAACCATGCATTTTTTGGAAACAAATAATTGGTGTGACAAACATAACTTCATTTATTTGAGCCGCGATGGCTCAGGGAATAGAGTGTTCGTCTTCAAATGAGGCAAACCGGATTCGAATCCCATTCGATACAAATTCCGCATCCATCTTGCACCGACCACAGTGCTGACGTGAAATTTCTTCAGCGGTAAACGGATCATGGGTTAGAGTCCCCTTGCCGTCAGGCTAACCGTGGGAGATTCTCGTGATCTTCCTCTCCATGTAACGCAAATGCGGGTTAGCTCCTCAAAAAAGTCCTCCACGAAGGCAAATTCTTCTGGATTGAGCTCAAAATTACAGGGCTACGGAGTTGAACATTAGTAGACGTAAACCCATAAAATTGGGTCGGCTATTCAACGATGGTTATAAAACAAAATAAAACATCATTTATTTTGTTTGTCACTTGTGAGGCTAAATGAGCCCTGACGGCTTAGTAGTTAAGACACTGAGCTGTCAATGTGAAGTATTGGAGTTCGATCCCCAGAGGGACGTAAAGTCTATCTAGCACTAGATCGATGGGTGCTAGTTTGTCTGAGAAGTAAAAGTGGCATATGCGCACTTGTGGTCCCATTGTTGCCACAATCATACCGTTAGGCTTGAAATGGAAGAGTCTTAACCTCCATTACTCTCTTGGCCCACAGCTGGAATGATTTACTTTTTTTATAAAGAGACACTGCATTGTTTGGTTAATGAACTTGCCTGCATGCTTAATATAATTTTGAAATTCTGGTAAAAATGGCTAAATTTAGGTTATGTAATTTTCAATTGACAAAATAACTATCAAATTAATGATAACTGTTTGATTTGTATCCTACTTTAAGACCCATCTCTTAAGAGGATTAGAAAAACAGTAAGCGTATAGCCATTATTCCAACTTAGTCATTTACAAAATTTTTAATACAGCACTTCAATATTTTACAGTAAATAAAAGAATTGTTTGGACTCTATGTTTTTGCTAAAATGTATTGTATTATTTAAAATACTTCAGCTTATTTTGAAATTAATATGATTTGTAAAATGCGAGTTTCATTAGACCCAGCATTAAGTTAACACAATTAATATTCGAATTAAATTTCAGTATTTTTTTTATTTATATTGTATAAAAGTATAATGTAAAAATATCTATTCCAGGAATTAAATACTAACTTTGAATAAAAAATAAAATATCAATATTAAATAATTTTGATAATTTTAAATTTACAAAACGTTTTAAATTTATCTTTAATATTTCAAATAGTATTAAAACTTTTGTTTAATTCTTAGAATAGATATTTTTATATTAGTCAAATTTTGGTTTTAATGTCAAGTGTATAATCTTGCGCTCCATGGAATTCTTATTTTGGAAAACATTTAATCTTAATATCTGAAAAAAATTAAATGTTTTTCAAAATAAGTAAATAAATTAAACTTATCAATCGCTGTAAGCATTTAAAAATTGGTTTATAGTATTACAAATTCTCTAAGTCGAAAATAGTTTACATTTAGGTTTGCTTATCACGGTTTCGTCCTTATCACATAATTGTGAAATCCCTTTAGAGTTTCTTAATGTTTTAGATGTATGAAGGTGGAAAGAGGAAAAAAACTCTACGAAGTTTAATGCGAAACTTGACTACAAAGTTTTTGAAAGGTTTACTTTTTTGAAATAATAAATATCGAGATTTTATTGCAAGCCTTTAAATTAGTATGATGAAGTTTGCATTGTATGTTTCAATTTGTGTTTAACTACTTTATTTATTACAATTCTTTAAAACTATTCTTGCGCTGTTCAGAAAATAACAAGGGAATTGATTTTTTTTGCATATTATTGTTTGAAAGTGGTTTTGAAAACGATAAAAAAAAATATTGCTGAATAAAACTGGAAGATCTTTCAAATAGTCACATTTAACCTCTTCCATGTTTCTTTCGACAATGAAACAGGTTTTGATGATTTTAATCCTGATAATTGATTATTCGTCAAATTTTTTTAACGTTTTTTTTCTTTAATTAAATATTGATTTTTTCCATTTTAATTGGGTATATTTTCAATAAATTCATTTTTGACAAGGAGTCTATATGCAGATATTGTGGCTGATGATTACAGAATATTCTGAATTAAAATAATCATAAGTTTCAAGAAGTATAACTTTTCTAAGTTTTAGATAGTTTAAATACGTCAATTTAGATACAGTTTTATAGTTCCACAAGTATTGTGGGGATTTGATTTTTTATAATAATCCTTGTCGGACGTATGATTTGTTTATTCGAGATTTCGAAAATAAATCAATATGTTTTGGACATTCAAGTATTGAAATATATTTTATGTTTAAGTAAGAAAAAAAGACCAAAAATATATATATATGTACTATTTTCTATACAGGGTGCGTAGCCAGATTTTTCAAATAAAAAAAAGCACATTTTAAAAACTTTTAAATACTCAAAAAGTATTTTTAATCACTGTCCAAAAAAAAATCATAGCAGGAATAAAAATTATTATTTTCTATCGTTTAAAGTTCTTAATTTATAAACATGAAATCAATAAAATTCCAAATGTTTTGAAAAACTTTTTATAATAATGATAAAATGACTAGTTTCTGACAAATATTGCACAGAAAACTGTGAAAATCATGCATTTTTTGTCATTTCGAATGACAATCGACATGGCAAGAAAAAAAAAACTCTTTTTATATATTTTTAATTTCATATCTTTTAGATATAAAATTAAGCACTTTTTTCAAACCCTGAATAAAAGATGAACCTTTAAGGTTCTTAAAGAAAACTTAAATAAAAAAACGCTACGCACCGTGTCTATAATATTCTGTTTACAATTTTTGAAAAATTTTATTTAAATGTTCTTAGTGACTTAATAAATCGAAAGCGAAAATATTTACTTACTTTCGCTACAATCATTCCAGCTAAACTAATACGAACTCTCGGATGATGTAAAAGTTTATACCTTAAATCCACCTGAAAAATAAAAGAAAATAAAAATATTTATTTCCATTTTATTTTTGTTTTTAAAGCAGTAATAATGTTTTTTATTACAAATAAATAATACGAGATTTGTTACTTACCCTTTATAAATAAATAAATAGATTGAAAAAGACAAAGTAGTAAAACCATTTTATTTCCCTTCCCTTTAAGTAAGGTTTTCTGGAAGGTGGGCAAAAACGAGTCAAAATAGCTCCGATACAAATAATAGTCGAATTTGAAAACCCCGCGTACTCGAAATTGAAACTACGCACCAATGCTTACATTTGATTAAAATGCATAGTCTCAAAAGTGATGCAGAGGGAGGAATGTGTTAGTGGCTGCTGCTGGTAAGATTCGAAACAAGGACCTCCGTTTCGGAGATACTGTGACAAATTTTTGCTCAATTTTGAGAAATCTTTTCATGGCGAGGAAATTTTTATTTCTTCACTAAGAAAGAGCAAAATTGAGCAGAAATTGATTTTACTACTGAGTCCTTTGTTCGAATCCTTCAAACAACGAACATCTCTCTTACACATTTCTCCCTTCAAATCGAGATCATGCGTTTTGCTCATAAAAGAGTATATGCTATTTAAATTTTATGCTGTGGGGTTTTCTTTTTACTACGTTTTACTAGGATTTTACTACTGCGTCCTTGGTTTGAATCCTTCCGGTTACCAACGAACATTTCACGCACATATTTCTCCCTTCAAATCGAGATCATGCGTTTTCCTCATAAAAGAGTATATGCTATTTAAATTTTATGCTGCGGGGTTTTCGTTTTACCACGTTTTACTAGGATTTTACTACTGAGTCCTTGGTTTGAATCCTTCCGGTTACCAACGAACATTTCACGCACACATTTCTCCCTTCAAATCGAGATCATGTGTTTTGCTCATAAATGAGTATATGCTATTTAAATTTTATGCTATGCCGACCAGTCTGTGTAGGGGGCAGGGAACTGTCCTTGCATCAGAAAGGTTCTGGGTTCGAATCCCGGGCAAGGCATGGATGTTTCTTTCCCTCTATCTGTGTTCTATGTCCTTTCTCCTTTGTGTGTGAATGTGTGAATGTGACCCGCCCTATAAACGGGTTGTGGTAGTGTGACGTGGGCGACGCTGTTCCACCGCCGTGGCTTCGCCACAGGTGCCCACTGGGTAACGAAAAGAGAATTAGCAATTCTGGCACTTTCTGTGGCCAATGGACAATAGCTCCAAGTGCCCGCCATTAAAAAAAAAAAAAAAACTTTTATGCTATGGGGTTTTCTTTTTTACTACGTTTTACTAGGATTTGACTACTGAGTCCTTGGTTTGAATCCTTCCGGTTACCAACGAACATTTCACGCACACATTTCTCCCTTCAAATCGAGATTATGCGTTTTCCTCATAAATGAGTATATGCTATTTAAATTTCATGCTGTGGGGTTTTCTTGTCGAGTTCTTTATTTGATTTTAAAGTATGCATAAGCAGAAAATGAAAAAGCTGAAATATGGTTTACATTATAACAAAAACGAAAAAATGAAAGAAGAAAAAAAACGTTGTGAAGGGTTATCAGAGAAACATACTTCTTCATTGTTGAATTTGTTAATTTGTATTCGATTCGAAATACTAATGGAATTTTCCATAAAATGAATATCCTTTTCATAATTCATTTATTATTACTATTAGAAAAATAATTACTTTGAAATTTATTTCTTCACAAGTATTTCAATTAAATCATTTATTAAAAATTACGGGAATAATAAGTAAATAATGGATTATTGACTAGGTATTATCTTTATTACAGGTTTCGAAAATCATTATAGATTTTAAAAAAATTAATTCACGGAGCCCTTGTTACCCTTCCAACGGATTACTAGAGTTCCGCGGAACACCATTTAGGAACCGCTGGTCAAATTAGAATTGCTTAACTTTCGATTCTTTTGACCTATTAATGAATTAAGATGGCTGCTAAAACCCACACCGAGAAGGTGGGGATCGAATTTTTAGATCTATTGAGGCTTAAGATACATAATTTAAAACAACCAGTTCCCCCTAATTTTTTGTGTATTCAATTAGTTATAAACTAGCTTATAACAAAAAATTCTAGTGTTTTTTTTCTCTCTTGATCCAATTGTAGCAACAATGATATCTTTTTCGAATCTCTTCCTGTATTATAGCTGTCACTGTGGGTTTATGACATAATATCATTTTCATTCCCTCAAAATGAATTTTTTAGAAGAAAAAAAACTTTTCTCAAAATGCGTAATCGCTAATCTAGTTGAAATTTCCGAACATATTTAACCCAGCGGCATTCTTCTAAGCATTGTTTAGCACTTGTGATGCTTTTTGTGATTAATAGCTTTCAAAAAGATTGACTTGAAAGGTCAAAATAAAAAAGAAAAATGATATTTCAAATAATGCAAGGACACATTATGAGAAATGGGGCATAGAGCACGTCATGTTGCCAGAGGGGAATATACACTTTTATTCGAATGGGTATAGAATTGAAAAATTACACCGATCTTCCAGTTTTTCTTGTTTAAGGAGAATTATGATGTAATATTTTGATTTACATTACGATACCATCATATTTTATTAACGCTAATCTTAATGTATCGTGACATCCGAAGGACTAAATGTCCCATTTTGTAAAACTAATTTTAAAAAGAATTTAGTTCACTTAATGTAAGTGATTTTAAACTTAGTTAGATCCAACGAAGGTTTGTTATTCTTCAATTTGTATTTTTTTTTTTAAATTTAATGTTGTTAGAAAAGAAATTTTACACTTCCTCAAATGAAAGAATTAACGACCATTTCATGAACAACATACAAAATGTGGCTTTAAAATAATTTTTTGCGAAAAAAATATTTTGATTTTGTGCAATATTATATGAAAAGTAAATATTTCTAAGTGAGAAAAAAAGAAAAAAAATGTTGAAAAAAGCATTTCAATATTCTATAAATTTCAATATATTCTATATATTTATTTTATATATTTCAATATTTTATAAATTTCAATATATGCTCAATATTTATTTGATATATTTCAGTATTCTATAAATTTCAATACATTCTATATATTTATTTCATATATTTCAATATTCTATAAATTTCAATCTATGCTAAATATTTATTTGATATATTTCAATATTCTATAAATTTAAATATATTCTACATATTTATTTCATACATTTCAATATTCTATAAATTTTAATCTATGCTAAATATTTATTTGATATATTTCAGTATTCTATAAATTTCAATTCTATATATTTATTTTATATATTTCAATATTTTATAAATTTCAATGTATGCTAAATATTTATTTGATAGGGGAGAGTGGGGTCAATTGTAACATGGTACGATTGTAACAGAGCAAAAATTTCGAGTGTCGGGCTCTAGATTTGGTTNTTTATTTCATATATTTCAATATTCTATAAATTTCAATCTATGCTAAGTATTTATTTGATATATTTCAATATTCTATAAATTTCAATATATTCTATATATTTATTTTACATATTTCAATATTCTATAAATTTAAATATATTCTATATATTTATTTCATACATTTCAATATTCTATAAATTTTAATCAATGCTAAATATTTATTTGATATATTTCAGTATTCTATAAATTTCAATACATTCTATATATTTATTTTATATATTTCAATATTTTATAAATTTCAATCTATGCTAAGTATTTATTTGATATATTTCAATATTCTATAAATTTCAATATATTCTNATTCTATATATTTGTTTCATGTATTTCAATATAAAATATATCTATATATTTTACATGCTTATTTTCAAATATTTTTTTTTCATACGAACATAACACATTTCTTATAAAAAATATAAAGGTAAATTTTATTACGTTCCGATGAGAATAATTAATTTGTTTGTATAAACTAAACAGCATGTACCTACTTTGGCTACTTTAAGTAAATTGTGCTAATCAAAATAAAGCGATTTTTAGAAACTGCATAAAGAGTTGGAGCATAATAGTTAGTACTTATAATTGGTTTAATTCTATTTATTTTAATAACTCTGTCGATTGAAAATATAGCATAGAAATTCATCAAATCATGAATCTGCTATTTAGATTGTCTTTCCCCGAAAAAAAAAATTTTATCAGTGTGGTTTTTAAAGCCTACCTTCGGATACCTTCAGAATTAAATGCTTTTCAGAATGTTTTTTGTCATTCAATCATTTTTACTTGACCTAGTATAGATATCCAAATAAAAATGCAATGTTTTAATTTACTTTTTGGCTACATGAAAATACAAAAATGACTCTTTGATCCATTGTTTAACATTGTAATTTAAGTAATTGGGATAATATTGTTTTAATTATCTAACCTTTAAAAACGATAAAAATAAATAAATATGTTACTTCCTCCATTGATAAAGTATTCCTCGTTAAGTATTCTATTGCGGAATTTGTTTAAAAATTCTTTTTCATCGCATTACTTAGCATTATTCAAGAACTTACATTAAAGTATTTTTCAAACATAATGAGCATTTTTTAAGAGAGTAGTTTCCTTATCATATCTGTCTGCCTTGTTTAAATGACTTCCTCGGGGTCATGTTCATTTTTGCAAACTTGTTCGGAATTGTTTTTTAAAGAATTTCATAACCCGAGGTCTTTTTATTTTGCCCTCATTGTAGCCTACTTAGAGGTATTGAATCTAAATCATAGATTGGTGGATTCACTTGAAAATAATTCGAAATATTTTTATCTTATGATATAAAGTATCAGAAGTTTGAGCTTAGTGCTAAAATCTTGGAAGTTTATGCATATAAGTATAACTAATATCTAACTTATGTGTGTATAACTAAGTGTTCTTAATATAAATTATGTTTCTGTTTAGTTTCTTGCGTAAATTTTCTTTGTTTAATGTCAAGTGAAGAGTTTATGTTCACGTCATTAATTAAATATTGAGTACGAATTAAATTTTCCAAATGATGTTTTTGATATGCATGTAACATATTTTAAGTTTTTTAAACAAAATACTATGTTAAATTTATTGTTGCCTATTATTGTTGCATTTATTTTTAATCGGAATTGTTACAGTCTGAATATAACTGAATATAATCGTAAATTTGAATATCATTGGTTAAATGGCTGTTTTTCGAACTCTTTCGTCAAAGTTTCTTTAAACGAAAGAAAAGTATTTAAAACCCATATAGATTTTTTACGAAAATTGTCCTAAAAAAACGACAATGATATATTTTAGTTCGCGGGCCAAAAAAAAGGCGTCGAGGGCTGGATGCGGCTCGCGAGCCGAAAGTTGGTAATCACTGGTCTAAGTTCATGAAAATTTGAAAAAAAATTCAGAAATTGTTTATAATTTTGAAATTCAGAAATTTTTTTGAATAATTCTGTTAATATTCATGTAAGTGAAAAAATCTCTCCAAATTGATTTAATAACTTTTTAAATATATACGGCATGTGTCCGGTTTAAAGCCCAGATAATTCTTTGTGTCAAAATGCTAAATATAGTTCAAAACTATAGCTTTGTATCAAGTTTAACTCTTTCAAGATCATGATTATACACACGGAATCGCGCGATTCTCCCTTCATGGCCCACATTATCACATATAAAACAAACTTTTCTAATTCTGGCAGGACACTAATTGAAAACGCAAGTGGTAAATAAAAGGCATACAGGTGATGAGTTCCTATACTTTTGCGTTAGGATGTGCTGAAGTAATGTGCGCATGACAATGCAAGAGTATGGAAATCTGCTTCTGGTATGTTTATCACTTACCGATTGTCTCCTAATTGTGTTGCCTGCCTCACACAAACTTGATCTCAATTCGGTACTCTCGTATAAACATAATTAGTATAAAAATGTCATTCAAGCTGTGCCTGATTCATCATTAGGCCTGAGAGGCCCCGACAGGTCTGCATTTCTATGGCCCCCCAAATGTTACAAACAATTCCTTTTTGTGCTTTTCCTTAAGAATTATCTATTAGAGTTATGAGTTTACAAAAATTGAAACAAATATAAGCTTAAATTTACTAATATATCGTAATTTACTTGTATTGTAAATAATTTGAAAACACTTCATTATTAAACAACATGTAAATTTAGTTTAAAGTAACGACCTGGGCCCCTGACAGTTTTGTGCCAAGGGCCCCGCATTTCTAGATCAAGCCCTGCATTCAAGTTGTGGACACTGAAATCTTAAGATAAAACCATGAAAAGCGTATATGTAGTCTTCAATGCATATAAATTGGGAGCATTCTGTCCTGGGAAAGCGCTTCTTCCCCGTTTTGCCATCCCTTGGACATTAAACACAAATTTATAAGTTATGAACATAAAATTTTTCTCGTTTTCACCATCATGAGTAAAATAAATAAAAATAAATACATATCTGACATATCTTGGAAATTTACACAATTTTTTTCCCCGTTTAACTTCTATCTAAATGATTCTATTTATACTTTTAATATTTCAATTAATACCAACAAAGAACACTTTTAAAAATCACATTGTTTTTGGCGCATGTCAGAATGCTTTTAGTATTTAATCGCTATGAAAGTGTACTCTCATATTAGCTGCATAGAATTAAGAACATCTTAAATGAAGTGATTAAGCAATTTTTTATTTAAATAATTAGGCTAATGATGGTACTTACCCCATTGAAAAAGCTGATAAAATATCTTTTTACATCTCTACTGTTGCCACCATGAAGAATATAAGATTCATAATCTACGACCAAAAGTACTTCGGGCCATACTGTGTCCGGTGATTGTCTTTTAGAACGGTGGTGCGTAAAATTTCCCAAAAACTCTTCCTCTAAAGGCACTATAAATAATAAAATTTAAATAAATAGATTTATTTATAACAGAAAATATATTCGCCTGCATAAAAAAGGAACTATATTCGCCTGCATATATATTTTTGTTTTTCATTTAGCCCTTTTAAAATTCAATCTCATTATCTACATGAACACGTCTAGACTTAATTTGCGTTCTAAATATTCTAAGCTCACATAAAGGTTCTGGGATCGAATCTCGGGCAAGGCATGGATGTTCTTTCCTTCTCTGTACTATCTGTCCGCAGTGTGTGAGTGACGTTGGCCCACCTAATATGGCGCCTCTGAAAGAGAAATCATCAAAATCGCCCTGTATATGCTTGAATTGACGGATGTTAACGCAGGTAGGCATTAAAAAAATATTCTAAGCTCAGGAATTTTTTTCTTAAGAATGAGTTAAATAACCCTTTTAAAAATACACCCCTGGTAAATTTTTGATAGGGAAAAATAAAGATCACCCAAACAAATAATGTTATAAAAAATTGAGCACATTCTTACTAATTACAAAACGCTTTAAGTTTAGAAACAATTTTATTCCTAATAAACGTACACACGTAAAACAATCCTGGTAAAATTACCAGGCTGTATGGTTATGCCATTTCTGGTAAAAAAAAAAAAAAACAACAACATAATTCTGGTTAAACCAATATATAAAGTTTTATTTATCCTTATCTCACGCAAACTTTAAATGGCAAGAAGCAAATATTTTTCGGAAAAATTCCAGGAATAAATCAAGAAATGTGTTTTCTTCGGAGTAAAATTTAACAAGATACAGTCAAAAATGTGAAACTGTTTTTAATGATTTTATTTGTTAGAACAATGCACTAAAGATAACAAAAACGATGAAATGTATTTGAAATTTCTGATTACCCCATTCTTTTCTACTCGTGGCAATATCTAAAAGCCTGTTTGTCCGTCTATTAAGCAATTAATAATATATATTCAGTAGACAAAGATTTATTTGAGTTCAAATTTTCAAAGGTTAATAACGATTTTTAAATTCCTTTGCGGGATTGGCGTCCTACATATGTCAATAAAACTGACATATTCCCTTGATATGTAGCTCTTAGGCCTTATATCTTTAAACCTCTTAACGGTTTTTAAAACTTTCGCAACTATACAATTGTTGCTTTTGTCTTTTAAAAATAGAGGATTCAATTTTAAAGCCTTTTGAAAACGGGCTTTTTAAAGTCGAAAAATACTTTAAAATAGAAACGACCTATTATTTTGATCAAAATGTTTAATCAACCTAAAGGTATACTTCTGATATAATGGAAGAATAACTAATGATAGAGTTCGGGAAAAATTATATCCATGTCTGTTTAAAAAGAGACTCCAGATTCTAAACGCTTTTCAGTGACAGAAACTAACGAAAAACATAAATGAAATCTAAAAGTTTATTTTATCAAACTAGTATCATGTCAAAATCTAAACCATTAAAATATCACGAAAGTGTTTATTTCAATATATATTTTCAAAGATTTTGATAAAAAACTAAGTATATTTTTGTACGTGGGTTATCAACCTTTTCTATACTTATGGGTATGGTCCAGATTTTGATAACATTTGCATTTTTTTTGCATGTTTTTGCAATTTCGTCTCTTTATCTCAATTAAAGCAGTTTTGGGGATTTTCCTTAAAATTTTAAGGAATTTTGTTAACATTATTCATCCGAAACTTTTGAAATATTTTAACGTTTTATAATTCAGTTCTGTTCCGATATGTGTAAAAATTGATTGCAAATATCATATTCTTCTTTAGTCTTTTGTTAATAACCAATAGTTATCAAGGAAATCTAGAAATGGAAATAAAATTATCAAGAGCATTTAATTTTCCAAAGGAAACTAAAAAGCGTTCTTGTAAAAATTGTCTCACTTAATATAAGTTATAAGAATGTCTTCTAATTGTCATTTAATTCAAAAATTGTATCGAAAATTTTAGTTCCACCTCTTCTGTGATTTCCTTGATAATAATTCGATGGATTTTGATAAGGTAGGATTTCGATAGCTTTTCCAATGTATTTTGATTAATTTATATATTAATATGTGGCCCTTTAAGTTCAGATTTTACGAACTTTATTATTTTTAATATGGCGTCTAAAATTATATAATTAAGGGTTATGATTACTGAACGACTTCAAATGTTTCGAGACTGAACGTATATACGAAAGAAATTGAACGATTTGAAGAAATAAACTTGAAAATGGATCTAGCGTTTGATGTTCACTACACTTGTTAGATTAACGGCACATGGCTGACCACTGTATTAAAGTACCAACCAAAGAATCGCTACCTAACCTCCTTCCAATGTCAAAGAAATCAGCAATTATAGAACAAAATTTGATGGCCTGAAATTCGGTCCAAACAATGCATAGAAGTTAAGGGTAGACACATTCCTTAATAGAATACTTTCCTGTTACGTTTCTAAGACAATTTCCCAAATAAAACCGTGGTAAAAAAAACTGCTGTGGTGTGTGGTCACATAAAAAAAGATATCGATAAGATCAATCGAACAAAAGTTATTTAGGATGATAAATTTTTATTTTGTGCACTATCCTTACAAAAATGTAAGGTATTTTTGAGGTTTATATAAGGTTGTTTTGAGGTGCCAAGGTTGATTTGAGGTTAATTCAAAGTCCATTTAAAAAACAACCTTAAAAGATCAATCTCCCAAGGTGTATAATCAAAGTGTATGAAGTTTTATTCACACTTGAGTTGATTTGGTTTTGATGGCAGTCTACTTTAGAACAACCAGCTTCGGGAGGTTCTTTTTGAGGTGTACGGATTATTTTTTCTGCACTTCCAAGCAAATACGTATATTTGAGGTGACAGTTATCAAAATCCCGAGGTCAAGTGATCGGCCGACCTCGTATATTCCAACAATCCCCCAACTTTTGGCAACGTCTAGATGATGACAACTCACCTTACTAACAATGGATAAACAAAGAAATTCAAAAAGCTAGGATTGGGCCAGTTACGATGTTCAGAAACGTCCTAACGCTAGAAGCTTCAGTGAGCAAATGAGGTACCTCTACGCAAACGTGATCATAGCGCCACTGCACTTCGACGTCACTGGTTACTGCGTAGCAGAGGAGTCCGCGAAGAGTTCAGCTATCATCTTCTTGCGTATCGGACTGGTGCACGTTGAATCTCTCAGGTCATAAAGTCCTCCAAGTTCCCATAACAAATAAATACCTTTGGGGGTATTGATCCAGAAGTTCCCTTGTCTTCTGGATTCGGTTCAAAATTACAAGGCTATGGAGTTGAGCATTCGAAGTCGTAAACTCAAAATTGGGTAGGCTGTTTAATGACGGTAAGGAAATGAAATAAAACTATACTTGGTAAAATTATGGGTCAGCTTGGAATAATGGAGCAGAACATTCTACAATTTAACTCCTTATTAAATTCTGTGAATTTTCACGATATGTTTTAAGGTATCGATATTATGCTTTAATGGTAAATCATTTTTTTAGATTGTATCCAATTATAGATTATCCAATTATATCCAATTATCCAATTATCCTTTTGATTATCCAATTGTATCCAATTATATCCAATTATAGATAATTTAGATTGTATGCTTAATGGATGTTTACGGTTTCGTCAGTTGCGTGTTGCAAACAAAGCAGATTGCGGCCAGCTGTCTGTATGTGACGTTTTTAGATATAAGAAACCGAGCTCTTTATTGCTTAGTTACTAATGCAAGCAGTTAATTTGCTTACGATATAGTTTTTGAAGTTATTTTACTATTAAAACTGGAATAATGTCATATTATAGACTATTTTTTTTTTATGTAGCAAAGAAATTTAACGCATTTAAAAAAATTGAATTTTTTCCATAGATATTTATTTAAAATTCATGAATAAAATTTATTTATGAAAAAATTCTGTTATTAAAAAGAAATTCTAACTTCTTACCGAATAAATTTTAAGTTTTTCTCACATTTTAAAGGCTGACATTAGGTTTTCAATTGAACGTGATTAATCAGCCCTGTTCAGTTACCTTTCTCTTCGAACATTTTCAGGGAGAAAATCATTAATTACGTAACCTAACGTAAAATTAACTAACATACTTGTGTTACATATTAATGTTTTTGTGTGTAGGCAGAGTATTTCGTATAGACCACCCTTCCTACATTCTTATTGAATCCTTATAAAAAAAAGAAGTCAAAAGTTTTCACTTTATAGGTAATTGTTTAAATAGAGAAAAAAAACCAAAACGGTATCAAAATCTAACGAATCATTACTGAGGAATACTGAACTAAAGACAACAAAACCATTTTACTGAGCAAAAAAAAGAGGAGTTAAAGCATAATTATTTCACGAGGGCCAGTGTGCTCAGTATATTGATTTCTCATTTGGTGCGGGTTCTAAGAATATAGATTTAAGTTGGTCATCACTGAACATCATAGATTAATAATTTTGTACATAATCGTTAAAGAATTATGAAACATTAAAATTGAAATTTATGAAATGGAAATCCCACTTCCTTGAAATTTGTTTACGAAAGTTCCTATTTTTTCGATTTAACAAAAGTATAGAAGTAAAAGTAAAGTATTCCCGCAACAACTCGTTGGGGACCAAGGGGCGCATAGAGGTTAAGCAGGGGTCTGTCCAGACATTTTGTGAAAGGTCCGCTTTTGTAAAATTGTGAAAAAATTACTCGTAATTTGTGAATATAAAATAAACGTCAAGTCACATTTTTTCAACCAGTTTCCTGCTTTTGTGAATTTGTGCAAATAGGGTCCTGTTACTGCAAAAAACTTTTTCAAGGAATTTTTAAATTGTAAATCGATGCAGGATTATGCTCAACACTGTAAAATTATAATTAAAAAAAATTGAATTTCAAAAACTAAACAGTAATTGTTGTTACTATATTAGAGATGCAACATACAAATATTTGGTATTTAGCCTATACTGCTGCAGCAAAATATTAATTTCGGACGAATAAAGGAAACAGCGTCTGCCGAAGACAAAACTTAGTTCGTTTACATCTGTCTTTCCCCCCCCTCTTCCTGGGAAGGGTTTATTCGATTAACAAAACAATAATGAAGATAAACAAATTTGTGAAGGGTCCGATTAAACGATAAATTATTTTGTGAAGGGTCCGTTTTAAGTTCAAATATTTTGTGAAGGGTCCGTTTTTATGAAAAGATATTTTGTGAAGGGTTTCTTCTAAACAGACCCCTGGGTTAAGGCTCTACAAATTCGAGACAAACGGCATGATGACAAACGGCATAAGCTACCTTTACTTCCTAGATAATCAGGTACCCATAGATATGAAGCTGGATGGGCTACAAGCCACCTCAGTGGAACGAACCCCAATTCTTCACAATGACAGTTAACCACTAGAGCTACCATCGTGACTCTACAAAAGTGTAGACTTTAAAATTTGAAAAAAATATTTATAATTTTTAAAATTTTTGCTTGCCTTTCTTTAGTTTCAATTTTCAATTACTCTTCAATTTATTACCATGTCGCCATACTTACAGTAATCTGAATGGTGATCCTTTAATACCGGACGCAATTTCTTTTTGTAAATGATATGTTTTCCTTTCTGTAATTTAGAATAATAAGAATTTGGCTTTTGATAATTTGAAACATTCGTCTTTTTCAGTTCCTCGGCTTCATCTTCATCCAAAAACACTTCATCATCGACAAATCCTTCATCATAGTCTATCATTTTCGGTGGTAATGGATGTATTACAAGATCATTTCCAATAGTTCCTTCCTAAAAAGAAGGAAGTTATTTTTTAATAATATGAATTTGAAGACCATATAAATGCAAATGTAGAAAACTATTCAATACTAAATGAAAAAAAAATCATAATTTTTTAGCACAGTTAATAGATATAACTTCGTTACTGTCGCTTAGACGCAATTATTGTAATTTATTAGTAAAGTTTCAAACTTATGACATTTTTATTATTCTTTTCCTTACTTTTCTAATTGCTGTATGAAACCATTAGATCATCATCCTCATATTCAACTATTATGCAAAGGAACAGTTTTTTTGTTGTGTGATATTTTTGGAACAGATCTTAGATACTTTCGTATGGCTGATTTAATATCTGTAATCAGTTTCTCTCTCCAAGCAACAGTTTTTTTAAAATTAATATCTTTAGTCTTTTTCGACGAAATGCACAAGTATAGAAACGGTATACATATAACAAGGGTTCTTATAAATATAGCGACTAACTTCTAAGAGAATTAAGGCGCATCTCTTGGATTAAAATTGTGTAGAAACCCATGTACGGAAATATCGAAATACGCCGCTAGGTGTGATTCCCTATCATGAACTATTTCTTTATGTATGGCATTTCCAGGCATGGTTTCCTATCAATTTCAAACCTGATGCTGCGTCTTAAGCCCTTTAAGTTTGTCGTAACATTTTTGCAATCAATGAAATATGTAACACTTTTAAATTTGTATATTTATGCAAAAAATTAAACTAAAGATTATCAATTAACAAAATCTGTAGCTTTAGGAGAAAACTAATTTCAGATTTGAAATCCTCACATCCAAATTAGGCAAGATCGAGTATTAGTCGAAATACAACAAAAAATTTGTTCCCCAATGTCATCAATCCACTGCTGAATGAAGATCAAAAATTTCGATCAAAAATTGCACATCGAAACTTCCTAAGATTTTCATCTACTACTTTTGCCCCATCTTATTCAACCTTGTTACTTTTCTTAAGTCATAAGATTTGTTGCCATTTGATGCCATGAGGTAGTTCATGAGCCAGTCCAAGATATTGCATGGTCTGAGATTGCCAACTGTTCGAGCTAAATGGTTTTATTATGAGGATTTTAAAGGCTTATTTCACTCGATTACATCAAAAACTTTTGTTTGTTGCTTTATCCAGATTTTCCTCAATACCAAGAAGAGAAAAGGTTCATAATATGAAACACTTTTTTTAAAATTAAAACTAGAACATAACATTTATTGTTATGTTCATAATTATAATCTAATGTAGGCGTGTAAATCATTACGGATTGGCCAATTTTGCAAAACTCGAAAGCACCGCAGTGTAACCTTAAAAAATAAAAATGATAATTTATCTGTAAAATCTACGAAAGGTGTCTTAATATTGGTGGAACAGTACCAAAGCATATTAAAATGAGCAACTTTCTACAAAAACCTAAACTGTACTCATTAAAATAGTCTCTACTCGTTAAATATTACATCTACTCGTTAAAATCTCGCTTTTGTTATTTAAGGAGTATTTTATGACATAAAAAGTGTATAATAAAATAAAGAAAGAAAGCTTTTCACTCGACATTTGTCTTAAAATAATACTTTTTAATGATGGACTTAACTCAAGAAAGATGTTTTTTTTCAAATAGAATTATAACCAAGAACTACAGCATTCTGTTTCCGCAACTGTCTTCTTTACACAAACGTTACACTGTACAAAATTCCGCATCAAACCACGGAATAGAGTTCTGGGACTTCAGGTGCATCATCCATGATATATATTTTACGGTGAAAACCATTTTCAACGTAAAATATTACACAATAGTTTTTGCAGAAATATTTATTTAATTAGAGTGATACAGGGATATTATGGTAATTCTTAATGTAAATATTACGGTATATCGGATTTTTTGTTTAAACACGGTGCCGGTACTTTTCACCGTAATTTGATTCAGAATTTTTTACAGTGTACATGCATTTTAAATTGTTTTTAGTTGCATCTCCTTCGGCTAAAATAGGGGTGAAGCAAATTAAAAACATTTTTCTGTAAACATTTCTCCATATTTGAGTTGTTTTCTCTTTGTTTTTGTCTGCTAGTCAGAGTCCATGTTCCTGCGTAATAAAAAAATGCGGGGACCACACATGTATACAAAGCTTTCTTCTTTGAATATGCAGAGTGCATTATTGGTTTTTAATAAAATGCGAATTTTGCTGAAAGATCTCTGACAGTTTTTGATTTAATCTCTACTCTCTTGAATTTGATTTTCTTCTTTACAAAATTAGCATTGAACAAGACTTCTGTTTTATGAAAACTCATTCTGCAATTCTTACTTTATTATAGGCTGAATTGTTACCAGTTGAATTAAATGTTTATATAAGTTGCTATTTTTAAAATCCATTATTTTATAATTAATGGTAAACCTATACATTATTTAATCAAAAGAACTCTGTTTTATTCGAATTTATACAAGTTTATATGCAATTATAAGCAGAAATTTAAGTTTTGTCTTAATGAACTGGACACTGTTTTTAAAATAAAATGTGGCAATTATAGAATTTTTCTTAATTCCTAATTTCCCCCCCAAAAATGGATAGAATGTTCTATCCATTATAGAATATTCCAATGTATATGCTAATGTATATACACGTCTTCTAATGTATATGCACGTTAAGGTTGCGATAGTTGTGGCAGTTACAGATAAGTATGTCTATTTTTTCAGCTGCAAACATATTGTAAAGCCACTTTGCACACTGATAAAAAAGACGTATGATCAAAACAACCAGAATATGGTAACGTAGTTTTACCAGACTTTTTTTCTCCGTGAAACTACACTTAATTTAAAAAATGTTTTGCTCTAACTTTGAAAAAAGACCTACGATTCTATTTGTAAGGAAAATATAAGAAACTGAAATGAAAAAACATTTTTAGTTGAAAGTAATATTATTATATAAATAAAATGTTTGTTTGAAAACCAGCTTGATCCTTTTAATATTTTTGATGCTAACGTTTTTCGGTTCCTTGAAAGTTCTAATATTACTCCTGAAAATTCTTGAATGGTTACGATATCGAAATATATTCGAAAAGTTTTTTATTTAAAATTTTACTTTTCATTGTTTTTACAATATTTCTTTGAAATTTTAAACAAAATCGATTTTGGGGGATATTTCACTTAACAGTTGATAAGGAAAGGAAAATAATAAAACAAATTAAAATTCTTTTTTCAACCAAAATTAAAAAAAATTATTTGAATTACATTTTATTTTATGGCCAATCGCAGTTTAACCCAAAAATATGGCTGGTGGTACGTTTTATTTATTTTCCTAGAAAAATCACCAAATTTTCCTATACATAAAAGCGAAAGTTTGTATGTATGTTTACAAATAACACGAGGATTTGAGTACCGATTTCGATAATTATTTTTATATATTTTTTTTTACAGTTTGAAACATTTTACAGGGTGGTATGTAAATAATCATCATTTTATACAGTCATTTAATTCGGGTGCAATATCGAAAATACAAAATTCCACTGTTAGAAGCCTTTGTTAGAGATAAAACTTTCCTAATATTTTTTTCATTGGCTTTATCGATTCGCACGACGTTTTTTTTATTACAGACTGCTAATATCTTTGGATCATTTAACGATATGTTACGATATTAATTTTAAACATAAATATGATTATTCCTATCCAATATGACAAACATAAATATGCCATCCAAATGGCGTTTCAATTTCAAGATTGAAACTTTTTGTTGCCAAATATTAAAAATAATAATTATTTTTTGACATCTCTAACTGCATTTTTACTATTCTTTAAATGATACTATGCGAATGTATAAGAGACAGAAATTAAATACACTCTCATTTGAGTAATACGAGTTTATATGCACACATTGTCTTGATTTTTAACTGTACAAGTTTAAAAACGGAAATACTTGAAATTCTACTTGTTTAAAAAGGCGGACCAGCTACTCGCCGGAGGCAACTGGTAAGAAATTAAGCGAAAACGAGACATTTCTCATACAAAATTATAATTAACGTACTTAAAGGCTAGCTTCTTTCTAGCTCGTTTTGCTTGCTAATTGTCACCATATTTGCTTCTTGCAGACAAACTATTATATTAACACAGATTTTGTTCCACAGACGTAGTTTTCGAAACAAGTACTATAAAAAAAGTGGTTAATTTTTTTTCTTTTTTTGCCGTAAGAGATAATTAGCTTCTTTATCACTGCAACTTCATTCTCAAATTTATGTTCTAAATTCTTATTTTAATCTTTGGTTACGAAAAATTAGTTATTTTTTCCTCCAAAGATGATCAATAGTGAAAAAGTTGTTTCTTAATGCTGCATTAAGATTTTTACTAGCTATTTTGCATTCAATATTATAACTGCTTCTCTTGGTTAAACTCAGTTTCACATAAAAGTTATTATGAAAATAAATTTGCAATTAATAAAAGTAAATATAACTTGTTAACCGTTTAATATTTCTAAAGCAGTAACTAAATAATCTTAATATGTTGCATAACATGGCAATATCATGCTATCACTCTATAATATAATAAAGAAACAATAATTTTAGTTTTTAACCTTTAATTCTGAATAATAATTAAATTAAAAAATTTATAACGGTGAATAATAAGAATAATTGTTGATAAACAAACATTACTGGCAAATATCACTAAATAAGGGTTAAACAAATAAATTATAGGTAAATACCGTTATAGCTTAAAGTAATTGTATGTTAATAACAGTCAAAGATATATGGATCTTCTTTGTTTACAAATGATTACACCATACAATTTGTTTTGTGCAATAAGAAGACGTAAAATGGTGAGATAATTATCTTTTATGGAAAATAGAGAAATATTCTTTTGTTCAAAAAAAAAGTACGAGTGCATAATTTGAAGGAATCCCATCTAGAATGCAAATTTCATGATAAAGGGACATACTTGTTATGTTCAATGAATTGTTCAGTAAAAGTATTTTGTTTTATTTCAAAATAATTAATAACATCAGAAAACTTCTACCATC